CGATGTTGGATACAACAGATCAATAAATCTGATCTTTGCGACAAATTTTGTTCACTTAATTCATTTTCAAGTTCACTTTTTTATCCATACAAAAATTTAGTGGAATGGCATTTTGTACTTTTGACCAAAAAAACAAACTGACCATGCTTTGCATACTCATATGCTTGCCTAAAGTTGAAACTATCAGACTCAACTTGATACCAACATCGGGCCAACATAGGCCGATATGATATGTGTTAAATAAAATTTGATTTTGAAATATTTTACTCTTTATTTCTCTTGGGAAGGCGGATAATTTCGATTGTTGCATTCTTTATGAAAAGTGAATGTTATACCGAATATGATCATTGACTGAAATCAGATTTACTACTCTATGTTGGGCCATTGCTGGGCCAACATTGATCCTATCTTGTACTCTATAGATTAGCCAGGTAAAACTACATAATGGAATATCAATAATGTAATAAAACAAAATTATTCCTTAAAAATAGATTGCCTGTTAAGAAGTTTAAAATTATTATTATCATTAATTATTATAACTTTTTCCATTCAACTTTGTGAAACATAATCAGCAATTATTATTTTTTTTCATTTCTAAATCGCCAAACATGTACGATATACTTGTGAAACATGATCATATACACATGTACATGTGTAAAGTGTGTTTGAGATATCAAATAGTGTATCTATTTCTTAATTTTTTTAAATTCAGTGCAAGAATTTGTTATTTATAAATATATATAGACGGACTCGACTGAATTTTATTTTTTGTCTTCGGCAAAAATTTAGCAAAACAAAATCGGTATTTGAATAGTTTGTAGGAGTAAATATCACAAAAAGCTGACGCTACTTCTTTAAATTATATGTATGCCTTGTTATAAACAGTAGGAAATCATGAAAAAGTGAGCTGCATCAAAAGTTATATATAATACAAAATGAAACGGCATGTATGTGTGATAATTATATTTAAATCATCTAATTGATTGTAATGACCGACATAGAAATCTAAAGAAAGGAGCCATTAAAATGTTTTTCCTTGAAATATCAAAAAATAGAGGAAAAAGAATGTTAAAAAAAATTATACCACACTTTAGGATATTTCTAAACGGAAGTCTATAAAAATTGGCAGACAGATTCGTGTATAAATTACTTGAAGTATATTTCCTTTTTAATATACTTTACATTCTAATATAGATTTAGAGGTCAGGTATTTGAGTACTTTAGAAGACAAAATAATTTAGAGTGCTAAAGAAATAGTAGGAATTATTGACAATATTCTGGCTAGAAAATGCATGGAAATGGAGATGGGACAAAATGCATTCTACCATTTGATAGCCGAGAATGAATTACTAAGTATGTAACATCATAGCCATCCTTTATGCTACATACATAAAATGTTTAATATTACCGTTAATGCTAGTGTATTTAGATTTGACTTTGTATTTTTTAAACTACAATTATTTATTTAGTTAGAACGTTTTTTGACATAATTCTGTTTCCTGTATCCATATCTACCCTCAATTTTCCTGCTTAACCTAGCAAGCACGGTAAAGTCTAATCATTATGGTAAAGCATGTATTATGCTTATCGCCTTGCCTTGTATAGTCTAGGTAAAATATTAAAAAAGAGTCTTTTCTCTACCCATTACCATATTTTGTTGTGCCAGGACACCGGAAACAATGTATTTTTTGGACTTTTAGTTTATTTTTTAGGAGGATTTAATATATTCTTAAGAAGTATACATTGAGTACTCATTTATTCATTACTTTATTACAGGGGCAGTGAAATAATTTTTATGAAGATATGCTATACTGGATAAAGGATTAAACATAAGACGGAGTCAGAAATAGTGACAAAACAAAGTGTAGCAGAAAACAAAAGGAACACCCTCGTGAATTAAAACCATGTTATAATACAGAACTAGGAAAATAGCTGTATGAAATGAATTATCAATGCCTTCATACAGAGCTTTGATATTGCAACATAAACCGTAATGATTTCATACAAATGTGATAAATGAATTATCATGAATAGACTTTATCATTTTCATTCTAGATCTGATTTAGCAATGTATAGATACAAAAAATTAAACTTTTAATACTTTACTGGATATCTAGCTTATAATAAATTATATATATTCATACCTTTGTATATATAATTTATAATTAGCTAGATAACCAGCAAAGTATTAAAAATTTTAATATTTCGCCATGGCAGTCAGCAGGGTTTAAGAACATCCGTTGTTCGACCTGCTAGTCAAATGCGTTTTGTTAAAATATACTTTTTTTCTCACTTTTTTGGTCTTTTGGAAAATGTTGTTTGTGCTGTATTTTGACCCCTCTACCAAGAAATTTGTTTCGCATGCACACGTATAAAAATTGCGGTTTTTATCCAACGCAATCATAGGTTTGAACGTTGTTTTCAATTTAGACTTGTTTATATTTTTTCGTTTGGGCTTGTATTATATTTGCCTTCGGGTTTATATGATCCGTTCATCCTATTTCGACTCTTCAAAATTCAAGAATCAATCCCAAATTGAGGTAAATTATATGGCCTTTCAAATACCGTTTCGATTCCTAACATCACTGAAGAGACATTAATTGTCGAAATCCGGATATGGTGTACAAATTTTGGCACCTCATGCTTGCGGTATACCATCTCTTCCGCAAGTTTATTGTTTTCTGTTTGGTATTAAATTAATAATTAAAATCCATTTGTTACATCTGGTGATCCGTTTATTTGGCAATCGCCATGGCAGTTAGCAGGGGTTAAGAACATTCGTTGTTCGACCTGCTAGTCAAATGCGTTTTGTTAAAGCCAATGCTCCGTGTTGAAGGCCGTACCTTGACCTATAATGGTTTACTTTTATATATTGTAACTTGGATAAATGGAGAGTTGTCTCATTGGCACTCATACCACATCTTCCTATATCTATTTTTTACTTTTTTTGTCTTTTGGAAAATGTTGTTTGTGCTGTATTTAGACCCCTCTACCAAGAAATTTGTTTTGCATGCACACGTATAAAAATTGCAGTTTTTATCCAACGCAATCATAGGTTTGAACGTTGTTTTCAATTTAGATTTGTTTGTATTCATACCTTTATATATACATTATTTAAGAAAAACAGGTAACATGGATATGTTGATTGAATTCATTCAAATACGGGTAAAATTCAAAAGTAAAAATCCCGGAGAGAAAGATTGATTGATTGTTGGTTGTTTAAACGCCCAGTGGCAAATATTTCATGCATGTTCAGGAAGATAGAGAGAAAGTGGCAAAATACCAAAATTTCAGGGTAGTATGTAAGAAAAACAATATGCTATAACAACAGTAGATCTGTAAAACGCAATATTTGCAACATTCTAAAGAACTAATACTTTCGCAATTTTGAACTGATGTAAAAACCAGGAATTATTTCAGTTGTTGCTTGGAAGGGATTTTAGCATCCTTCATATGGATCGAAAAGTTTACAAATTGAAACAACGGAGTGCCAACGTTTGTTTAAAGTTTGTATTACTACTTTTGCCCAACATTTGTTCAACATCGGTGTATTATTCCATCATTGGGCCAATGTTGGACCTATGTATTGTGTAAGCACTTACAAAGTTGTGCCAACGTTTAGCCATCACGTTGGGTCAACATAGGGCCACTTTGCACTTATAAATTGGGCCAACGTTGGGTCAATGAATGTATATACGTTGGGCCATTGTTGTGACATGGTACAAATGTTGTCTGTGATGACAGCTAGATCCAATGTTCCTTGAATATATATTAAAAAAAATATTATTTTCAAATTACTTCATCAAATTGTTACAGATAATTTCATTGCATTACATAATGAATATAAACCAATTTAGATATATGAAAACAAACAAAGATAAAACTTGTCCAAAACTAAAGACATAATTATAGTTAATCATATCTATAGACCATGTCATGCATGGGATTATGATAAAAACAACACATGATCACTTCTCCATCAAACTTTTTATAATGACCTTCAGTCATGTTAGTTGTAATTTTGAACAGTGACCTATAGTTGTTAATTTCTATGTCATTTGGTCTCTGGTTGAGAGTTGTCTCATTGACAATCATACCACATCTTCTTATTTCTATATTCAGGGTAAAAATTTATTATCTTAACACGGCTGTCCAGAAAATATTTGATGTTGATGCAGATATTTATGGTGGGGTCACAAACAGATTTCTATCACCTTTTTCTTCCTCACATCTACTGTTTTTTAATATGGTTATGATTTTAAGAATTTAAAAAAAAAACCATTTTATTCATTTTTACTGAGAAATTTTGAATATCGAACCAGCTTCTAGCTGCCAGTTGGATATTGAATATTAAATTACAATTATATGCCATAATATATATGATCCTCTATATAATATATCAGTGACTGCTGTGGATAGTGAACTTGGAATTGATAGTAAATAGCAAATACAAGTTATTTCTAGTATATTCATGTTCATATAATACAGAAAAAAACGTGTAAATAGTTGAAATTAAGAGAAAACCAAAACAATAACGGATTTTGAAAAAAAAGGGGAGGACTACAGAAAATTGTCCTGTCCCCAAGTACCTATGTTTTTGTAAAATATCTATTAAAAGGTTTGAAAGATGATTTATTTTATCGAGTAATTCCCCTTTGAACAGATACAATAATTTACATCAACGGGGGACCTTGGAAAGCGCTTCTTTTATCTTTTTTAGAAATGTATAGTACAAATGCAACAAAAACACATACACATACGACTGTCATACAGGTGAGAGGTTTAGCTGGCTATAAAACCAGGTTCAATCCACCATTTTCTACTTAAGAAAATGCCTGTACCAAGTCAGGAATATGAGAGTTGTTATCCATTCGTTTGATGTGTTTGAACTTTTGATTTTGCCATTTGATTGGGGACTTTCCTTTTCGAATTTTCCTTGGAGTTCAGTATTTTTGTGATTTTACTTTTTATACTTAACAAAGGTGAAATAATTATCTTACCTCACTAGGAAAGAATGGTGCTATCAACGACAAACACAGGTAGCTCAGAAAACTGCACAAGGATATACTTATAAGGATCAGTTTATGTCGGCTGCTTAAGGCACGGAATGAAAATGTAGAAGTTGATAATTCTGTAGACTCAATATCACCCTGATCATCACAAGATCCCTGAATTTTGTTTTCCAATCCTTCATCAACAGAGTTAGATGAAATTAACGATGTCTCAACAATGACATTCTGAATTTCTTTTCCTGTTGGGTTCACATTTCTGCCATCTGTAAATTTGTCCTGACGTTTCACTGGCTCAAAAAATGTGTTGTCCTGATTTACCACTTGGTCAATAAATCCCTCACCATAACAGTTACTTGGATGAGTTGTTCGCAGTGATTCCCCAGTACTTACTGCACCATAATTCCCTGTCTTTTTACTCCCATTTAATAAACGAGAATCCCTTTCTGATTTTATAGTTTCATCCTCACTGTGTAATGCTTTTGTGTTAACTAATAAGTTTTGACTTTTCGAGTTGTTTGAAAATTTAATAGAAAAGTCATACTGAACTGAAACATCTTGCTCTTCTCTTTGGTTAACATTTTCTCCATTCTTCTGCATTATGTCATCTTTCTTTTATTCATTCTTTTTCCACTTAAAAGAAAATAGATAGCTTTATGGTTATAATGATTTGTTTGGAAGGAGTGTTTGAGGTATAAACTAAATAAGTATACTCACTCACAAACTCAAAAATATATGTAGGTTTTTATGTTTATTAATAATTGGTTGAGTTAAAGGTTGGTATGATACATCATGAAAATAAAATTAAGTACCTAATAACTCCCATAGAAATGAGAATGGAAACGGGGAATGTGTCAAAGAGACAACAATCCAACCAAAGAGCAGAAAAACAGCCCGGGGATACCATTGGGTCTTCAACGCAGCAAGAAAATTCTGCACCCGGAAATGGGCTTCAGGAGGGCCCTAAACAATAATGTATACTGCTCCATGGTCGAGTTGTTGTCTCTTTGACACATTCCTCATTTCCATTCTCAATTTTAGTTCAGTTAGTTAAGATAAAAACTGTTGATCTTCAACAATAAAAAACACTACTATTTATTCAGAAATGTTTGCAATGTTTTAATTATTGAACAAGTTGCGACCAGATGTAGGTTTTTCAAAAAATTAAAACTTGTATTTATATTCTGATAGCTTTACTTGAAATTGTTGTTTACAGCATTTCCTGAAATTGCAATATTGAGTCATCTCCCATATTTGTTGATTGTTAAACAATCGCAATAATAAATGCACGAAGATTTATTTTTAATTTGACTATGTTGGATTTCATACAACTGACATCATAAGATGGGTTCTATACCTGTAAACCCTTTTTAAATAGCTTTCTTGACATTTATTTCAGAAATGATTTACACATACAATATTGAAGTAATTAAATTAAGGCTTTTCATCAATAAAAAAAGAGGCTTTAAAGAGCTACCGTTTCAACTGATTTTAATAGTTTGTTCTTATGTTAATTGTGCTGTTCCACCACAGGTAAGGGGGAGGTTTTGGCATCATATTTGTTCTTTTAGATATTGTATTGTACATAAAATGTATCAGGTTATTGGTTTTCTCATTTGAATTGTTTTACATTTGTCGAACCTAGTTTTGTAGCTTTCTATGCAGAATGAGTTTTGTTCATTTTGTTTTGTTGAAGGCTGTACAGTGATCTTTAGTCATGATAGTAGGCGGAGAATTGTCTCACTGGCATTTTATTTTATTTTACTGTGATGTTTACCTGGATCTATGTTTATACTGAACAATGACCACTCTCCAACTTTATAAACTAGAATATAATTCATGACTAAATTAATGTTATCATTGATCTTGTATGTCAGATCATTTTTTCTGTTCACAGTTTCTTTCTGTCTACTATATATTTGACTCAAATGCAAAAAAAGGATAAAAATTATCATTTAAATAACTCCTCAATGAGTAATCTATAAGCCTTTCTGTTATAAAGGTATTTATGCAGATCTTGTTTTGCTGATAATTTTGCCACTGGCAGCTTCTATCTACATGTATTTAATACAGTTTTTGATATAATAGGCAAAAACATGAAAATAAGCCATAATTCTTAATTTTAGGGCAATTACAGTTTCAATTAAAGTGTTCAAATAATTGATGTGATTTTTTTTATTGAACTATTTCAAATTACAATACATACATGTAACAATAAAACTAATACTATATAGGAAAAAGAATAGAACAAACACAGTGTTTTCTTAAAGATAATGAGTGAGTGAACACAATCAGTACCATTGTATTATTAAAAGAAGAGCTGGGGCTACTCATGTTTTATTACTTAATATTGCTCTTCTAGTCTTTAATAAACTATCTATTAATTTTATCATTATGTTATTAACCATTGGATCTTCATTTGACATCTACCATATAAATGTTGATTGGTCATTTAGGGAAGGACAATTTAACTTCAAAAAGGGGGGGGGGGTTATGGTTTTTTCCAAAAAATAAATATTCTGAATCCAGATTTTCCCCATACCTTACAGTTGGGAGCAGACCAAGCATTACATGTAGACGGGCGGAAAAAGTTAATGCGGCGTTTACTCGCGTGCACTTCATGTAAACGCCGCGTTAACTGTGCGTTAACTCCGAAATTTCAGTAGACATAAAAAGTAATCGCACGTTAACGTGAAATAAAGAGGTCTTCTATTTTCGTCAAAAATAAACGCACGTTTAATGCAGATTGTCATCGTATCCTGGATACACTGACCTTAAATATCAAATGATAATGTACATCAAAATTAAATGACCAACTGGTCATTTTCGATTGATATATTGACGATTACAGTTAATTAATAATGTTATTACACCTCTTTAATTAAATTTCTTTTTCTTCACAAATAAACATTTCAAGCATGTCTTTCTTTTATTCAAATAATTTAATCATCACAAAAATTCAACAGTTTTCACATCTCAGACTGGCTGACTCAGAATGACTCTAAAACAAAATTATTTGATCTCATTAACCAAAACTGACCATATTTGCACTTTATCCAGTAAATCTATATAGCTGCATAGTAAATCAGTAATATTTTCATGTAAGGATGGATTGATTATACAAATTATAGCAATATTGGAACACAATGACTACAAAATTTTGTTCGCATCAATTTAGAGTGCCAGCATGTCCTCTATTTATTCAAAATATTGAATCGTAAACAAATTTCAGTAGTTTTCATACCTCAGACTGACTCGTATAACAAAATTATTTGTCCGCATCAACCAAAACAGACCATATTTGCACTTTATTATGAAAATCTTATAGTCGCATAGTAAATCAGTAATATGTTCATGTAAGGATGGATTGTATAATACAAATGATAGCAATATTGGAACACAATGACTACAAAATTTTGTTCGCATCAATTTAGAGTGCCAGCATGTCCTCTTTTTATTCAAAATATTGAATCGTAAACAAATTTCAGTAGTTTTCATACCTCAGACTGACTCGTATAACAAAATTATTTGTCCGCATCAACCAAAACAGACCATACTTGCACTTTATTATGAAAATCTTATAGTCGCATAGTAAATCAGTAATATTTTCATGTAAGGATGGATTGTATAATACAAATGATAGCAATATTGGAACACAATGACTACAACATTTTGTTCCCATCAATTTAGAGTGCCAGCATGTCCTCTTTTTATTCAAAACATTGAATCATAAACAAATATCAGTAGTTTTTATACCTCAGACTGACTCATATAACAAAATTATCTGTCGGCATCAACCAAAATTTTGTTCGCATCAATTTAGAGTGCCAGCATGTCCTCTGTTTATTCAAAATATTGAATTATAAACAAATTTCAGTAGTTTTCATACCTCAGACTGACTCGTATACAAAAATTATTTGTCCTCATCAACCAAAACTGGCCATCATGACAATGATGACCATATTTGCACTTTATTATGTAAATCTATATAGCTGCATAGTCAATCAGTTATGTTTTTATGTCAGGATGGATTGTATAACACAAATGACAGCAATATTAGAACACAATGACTACAAAATTTTGTTCCAATCAATTTAGAGTGCCAGCATGTCCTCTTTTTATTCAAAATATTGAATCATCAACAAAATCAGTAGTTTTCATACCTCAGACTGACTCGTATAACAAAATATTTGTCCGCATCAACCAAAACTGACTATATTTGCACTTTATTATGTAAATCTTATAGTCGCATAGTAAATCAGTAATATTTTTATGTCAGGACAGATTGTATAATAAAGATGACAGCAATATTGGAACACATGCAATGACTACAAAATTTTGTCCACATCAATTCAGAGTGCCATCATTTCCTCTCTGTATCCATAATAATGATCCGTCACTTAAGTCAGTAGTTCGTGATGGTTTGTATTTTAAACAAAACTATTAAACGGCATCATCCAATACACACATGACTGATTCATATACTTTATAATGAAAAGTATGAGAAGTTCTCTTCTTGGAATAGTATACTGTTGATATATTATGTCAGTATGTAGGTTGATTGATTTTGTTTGTAGCCTAACGTCCAGGGGCAAATACTTCATTCATGTTCAGATCGAGTATATTCTTTCGGACGTCCCAGATATCATTTATAATCGTTATGGATAAGTCTGTCTAAATTGAGGAGATGGTACAAATGTACTTACTTATACAACACTTTATTAATATCCCTATATACACTGTGCAATTTTCGTTTGAACATTTGGCAATCAGATTCTTAAATCATGTAAATCCAAGGCAAACAAGGTGAATTACGATTAAAATTCCATGTATTAAATGCATAAGTTATATTTAGGAAGAGACTGTTAATAATGGGGAACGAAGCAACGTAAACCATGATGTTTATATCCCATCATATAAAAATATTTTTCCGATGTGTTGGATAACCGCGGAGGGGTCTCAACATGGGATTTTGGGTACAGTCGTGCAGCTGGGATTTAAGAAACACCTCCCATTAATATATTGAATAATTGTGAAATCCCTACCTATACATATATTTCACAGCGAAATCTTAACCCATTCATATATTTATTAGCTCAATAAGTTTCAGCAGATGTGGAAATTGTAATAACAAAGAGTTTGGGAAATTCAGTGAAGTTCGTTGCACAACAAACTGAAAAATTATGACCCATTGATATATCACAATTGGTCAGTTACTACCTATTGCTATATTTCCTCGGTAAAACTGCACCCCATTGATATATCACAATTGGTCAGTTACTACCTATTGCTATATTTCCTCAGTAAAACTGCACCCCATTGATATATCACAATTGGTCAGTTACTACCTATTGCTATATTTCCTCGGTAAAACTGCACCCCATTGATATACTAGTATTTGATCGGTTACAACAAGTTGTGAAAGATAGAGCTAAGAAAATTCAGAAATAAATCCGTTTTTTGTTGGTAATCTGTACACATCGACATAAAAAAACACAATATACATATTGTCCAAACCTTAATTCAACATATATACAAAACTTTGATAGTACAAGCCATATAAAAGCACTCATAGACACCATTAAAGACTTTGATCACCCTATAATCCTTATATGGTTAGGTACATGTGAAATAACGTAAAAATTACACAAAACCTTACAGTGCAGAAAGTTTCCTTACCAAAATATTGAAGAAACCCTAACTCAATACAGGGACCTCAAAGAACAAATTTTATTAACAAAACCATCAGCTACTATACAGTGTTATTCATAGAGTGCCCCTACTATTCAATAACTAGAGCAAACAAACCCAAAGAAATAATAAACCCAAACCTGACCAGTAAAAAGAAGTTATATCCATGGTAAAAAAATCTATCAAAGGACACAGAAAAGTACAATTAGCCACAAACATCGACAAAGAAGTCAGTGAACAAATCGACTACTTCAACGATCATTTAAAACTGATAAATCGGCTATATAAAACTCCGAGAATTTCACAAGATTTCATCCTATCCAACAAAACCAAAAAAGACGCCAAAGTAAAATATAGGAAAAATTACAATCTCACATCAGACAGGCTACATCCAATAAGAGCCGTCACAAAATTGTGGATGTTGAAATATATAGCACTTGAGCTGTCCGAACAAGGATGCTGATCAAAAATACTAGAAAAGTCAATATAAAGCAAGCAGAGTAGTTAAATAAGGAAGCCTTGTTTAACATAGTGGATTCAAAACTAAGAATCTATACACTAAAATTAAGGAAGCCTTAATTCTAGATGAAAAGATAAAAAAAACAACAAGTATAGAACAAAAAAAATAAAAATAAAAAAATACAAAAAAAAAATAACAGGGGTCAAAACGATAAATTAGATAGAGAAGCTCTATCTATTATAAAAATATTAAGTAAATTAAATAGGTCGGATAGGGAAGCCCTATTCGACCTATCGAATAGAAGAGAGAGTAGAGAAGATTATATAACTAGACGATCAATTCCTTAGGGAAGCCCTAATTAAAAACATATAACAGATAAAAAAAAAGGAAAAAAAAGGGATAAGCCAAGAAAGATATAGATAGAGAAGCTCTATCATAAAATCAACTTTACAAATTTATATCATCATCTAGAGCAACTTTTTCTTTTGGGGAAGCTCTAAATAGAACTACTAGTAAATCATGTAAATACAAAACTATTAATTTTTCATTTTTAGGGAAGCTCTATTATCTGAAATAAACAAATATATAATTTTCCAAATAAATGATAGGGAAGCCCTATCTTAAAATTATTAAAGCAAATAAGCGATTAGAAATGGCAACAAGAAGAAATAGATCAACCTCAAATGCAACAAGTGATCAAAAAAAGACGACCCATGGGAATGTTAAATATGTCAAAAGATCTATAAAAATGAAGACGCTAAACTCCTTGAATGTCAAAGATGTAAAGACCATTTTTGCATCAAATGCTTACATAAAACAAAAGCAGAATACGACATACTAAGCAATTCAGACACAATGTGGTTCTGCGCCCCATGTAGACAGATAGTAGAGGAACACATAGTTACTGACCTGAAAATTGAAGAGAGATGCCCAGAGATCATGGACAACTATGAGCAAAGGATTAGTAATATAGAAAGCGCCATAGAAAAGAAATGCAACAAAGAAGAGGTAAGAGAAATAGTAAACCAGGAAATAACAAAACATAAATGTGATGAGGAAAGAGTAGGAGAAATAGCTAAAGAGGAAGTCTTGAATGGAGGGGCAGCAGCTAATAATGTAAACGAGGATATTGAAGGGGGAGTGCCTCCAAAACAGGGAACAGTAACCCCAGTACTAGAGGAAATAAACGAAAGGAAAACAAGGGAGAATAATCTAATCATATTTGGTATAACAGAAAATGAGTCTGAGGAAAAACAAGAAAGATTAGATCATGATGTAGAGAATATAGTCTAACTTTTTAAAGATGCCAAAATAACATTGGATATTGAAAACATCAAGAAAACACAGAGACTAGGGAAATATGATAAAGAAAAAACTAGCAGACCTCTAGTATTCCATTTGAAGAGTATAGACTCGAAATTAACCTTATTTAAAATATGCACTATATTAGAACATATCCTAAATACCAAAAAGTAAATGTAAGCAATGACCTCACCAAAAGTGAAAGAGAAGAAGAAAAGAGACTGTGGGCTGAGGCAAAGAAATATCAAGAGAGCAATTCGGGGGACTTCCTGTTCAAAGTGCGGGGACCGCCATGGGCGAGGAAGATAGTCAAAATAAGAAAATAAGAAGAGGGACAAATAATGTAAATAAAAATGTACAAAAGAAGGGAAAAGTTTTTAACGGCACTAATGTAAATTATTTTGCAGTTCTACCCAAATTTACCTGTTTTTATACTAATGCAGATCAGCTATTCAACAAATTGTCGAAATTGATCGTTCGAACAAGAGACAACAAACCAAACATAATAGATATAACAGAAGTAAAACAAAAAACTAACAGATTTAAACCATCAACAGCGGAATACTCATTACCAGAGGTAGGAAATTACAAAATATTTGAGAAAAACATAAAATCAGATGAAAGAAGAGGCCTTATAATGTATGTAGACTCCAACCTAGATGCTACATTAATTACGATGAAGACCGAGTTTCAAGAAAATATATTTATCAAAGTAAAGCTTAATCAAAATGATAAACTTTTAGTAGGTCTGATATATAGAACCCCATCCAACAGTTCCAAGGAATACAACGATAAACTAGTAAACTTAATGTCAGAGGCAACAGATATGGAATACTCCCACATACTCATTATGGGAGATTTTAATTATCCTGAAATCAATTGGGAAACATGGAACACAAAAGGGGTAAGTCAAAATAGCATTGAAAATAAATTTCTGGAAGCACTACAAGACAATTTTCTGTATCAACACACTACAAAACCAACACGATGGAGAGAAGCTGATACCCCCCATACCCTAGATTTAGTATTTACAAACGAAGAAGAGATGATTTCCAACTTAGAGTACATGAGCCCGCTTGGTAAAAGCGATCACTGCGTCCTTTCCTTTGATTTCAACTGTTATGTAAATATGAAAAGAACACCAAGAATAGCTAAACTGTACAATCATTGAAATTACAAATATTTTATTCAAGAGCTTAATAAAATAGACTGGCAAGATAAGCTCAATGCTGAAATTTCCATTGATAATAATTGGAATAACTTTTTATCCATTTATAAAAAATTAGAACACAGATTTGAACCAACGAAAACAATGACACAAATAGGAAAAAAGAAAAATGTATTCCCAATAGACAAAAAAACAAGAGAGTTAATTAGAAGGAAAAATATGTTATCTAAAAAAAATATAACCAAACAAGATCCAGAAACAAGAGCCGAATACAATAAAGTCAGAAATCAGGCCAAAATATCAACCAATAAACAAAAGAAAGCATTTGAAAAAGGATTATCTGATAATGCCAAGACAAATCCAAAAGCCATATGGAGTTACATAAAATCCAAATCCAAGACAAGAGAAGGTATAGGTGAACTACATGTTGACTCAGAAGATGTAAAATCTGAAAAAACGGATGGTAACAAACAAAAAGCTGAAATATTATCAGAGTATTTTACTAGCGTTTTTACAAATGAACCGCAAGGCAATATTCCAGAACCTAAACATATTTCAATAAAAGAAAATAGAGGAATTAAACATTGGCAATTAGTGTTGAAACACCTCCAGAAAATACAACCGATAAATCTCCAGGCCCAGATAACCTACACCTCAGACTGTTGTTTGAAGTCAACGAAGGTATAGCTGAACCACTAGGCATCATTTTTAGCCAATCATTAGCACAAAAAGTAGTCCCAAAGGATTGGAAAAACGCCCTAGTGAGTGCAATCTTCAAAAAAGGGAATAAATCACAAGCGAAAAATTATAGACCAGTTAGTCTCACATCAGTTATTTGGAGAAAATTATAAGAGAACATATAATTAGCTATATGAAAGAAAATAAATTATTTTCAAACAAGCAATACGGTTTTATTTCTGGGAGACCGACAACACTACAACTATTAGAGGTAATAGATAAATGGACAGAAGCTATAGACAATGGCCATGAGGTTGCATATACACAGATTTCATGAAAGCCTTCGATAAAGTACCACACAGGCGACTCGTAAAGAAAAGTGAGAAATTTGGGATAATAAATCCAATCCAAGACTGGATAACTAATTTTCTGTCTGATAGAAAACAACGAGTTTCAGTGAATGGGGAAACATCAGAGTGGAAAGATGTAACATCGGGAATACCCCAATGCTCAGTACTAGGCCCCCTGTTATTTGTTCTATGCATAAACGACTTGCCTGACTGCGTCACATCTGATGCCTACTTATTTGCGGACGACACCAAAATCTTCAAAATTATTGAGAACAAATCAGACCAAGTTATATAAGATAATTACTGGGAATGCGAAGAAATCTTTTATTCTGATTATCGAGCTGAAATAACTGGAAGCAGCAACAGAAATAATAGAGATAACAATTCAATATATGAGTCTGGTGAAGAGGAACCGTGAGGATCCTGTACCGGAAAACTCGAATAGTGATTTTTAATTGTAAATTGCATCAAAGTGGGTGAAAATATGGAAAAAACAACTGATATACACAAATCCAGTATGTCATAGGAAAGTAATTCATGTGCTTGGAACAATTATTCTCTAAAGATGGACAAGTTTATAAACTGTAGCCATGGACAGGTGTCTGTCTTTATATTGAAGAGAATGAACATGGCCGACAGCTTGAATAAAGATTTTTAATTGTAAATTGCATGTTAAATGACTATTTTTGCTTTCCTGATTGAATACTATAGTATTGCCCAGTGTTTCTGTAAAAAATTTTAAGTTCTGGTCATGGTTAAAATAATATGTCAGAATTTTTTTAGTTGTAAAAACAATTACCAAGTAATAATCCATTTAGAACTCCACCTTCGGCAAAATTCAGGTGATCGGAGGGCAACAAATTCGCACACCTGTGAATCCACAGTCACAACTCTAAGGAAATAATGACCGAAAAATCGGACACACATAATTTCACTGTGTAATTAAGAAGCAAACTTTAGCAAAGAAATGTTTCTTGTAATATCATGATCATTACCAGATTTTACTTTTTAAATTAAAAGAAATGCAGAAAAAAACATTTTCTCAATAAATACATTAAAAAAAATTATGTGTTTGCCCCACAACACACTTTTTGGTCTTATGGCCTGAAAATATTGAGATTAAAAAATAAAAATGAAAGATGGCTCTTACTTTTAAGAATTTTTTTCTTGTCCCTTTCATAAGTTGGCAACATGCGGATTCAGGATTTTGAAAGGGGATTCGCCGAACAAAGCAATGCGCAGTAGAAGGGACATAAACTTCAACGTGTTGAAGGTTGTCACTACAAAGTAGAAGTAGGTAACATTAGGAATGGAACTTTTAAAAAGTCTATGCATTAACCATACATGTAGCTCCAAAAAGGGAAGGGGTTTGATTAGATGTATTTTTGAAGAAGAAATATTTTGATCAGGGAGAAGGAAAAAAAACATATGTTATAAGAATTTTACCATACGCATTTGATTTATAGTTACTATTTTTTAAATGTTTGTCCTTCGTGCGTAAAAAATAATAAATAGTTTGATGCTAATATATATATATATATATATACAGGATAGATGGGATATTCATCCAGACAGCAACACAACAACACATTAAAACCCAACCGTGTGAGGAGGTCACCAATTACAAGATTCGATTATGGTAAATGTTGTGATAATTCATATAATTTCAGATATACAAGTATATAGCAAATGTCCAGACAATATGCAGATCTTGTGATTAAATCACCATAAAATTACAAAATGAAAGTGTTTTTAAGGAAATGAAAAGAAATAGGCAAATGAGCTTGTGATAATTCTCTTTCACATGGTATCAAATTTAATTAAATCGGACCAGACAATGTTTTGAAGACAATGTGGTTTTTGTATGAAATTAATAGCGAAAAATCACAAGTGACGAATGCTTAACTCCCTGCACTGTATGTACTCGTGAGGTGCCAAACTAGATCGAAGTCCGCGTACATGCCACACCAATCTATTCAGTGATCCTTAACAGCAAGGTTATTTGCGTGATAAAAAATATCTCAAAAACTTTTTGCATGGCTTTTTTTATTTTATCAACGTGCTTCTGGATTAACAGGATCAAGCAAGGGGATTTTCTCAATACCACTTTAAAATGAAATGCGATTAATAATTTAAACGGAACTGCAGTTTGAATTGTAGTGAAATAGGTGGTAACGATGGAAACTATAATTCATGCGTAGACCGGGGGGGGGGGGGGGGATTTTATGTCTTACACAAGGGGATATTGTTATTAAGAATTTAAAATTTTTAATGGGTTGTAGAAGCGTCGACCGAAGATCAATTTGTATAAAACGCGGAAGAGTTTTATACTAAAGATGTGCACAGGATCAACAATTTTGCAAACCTATATATTTATAAAAAGAAGCTTTCAATTCTGAAAAAATTACATTTTTTTGCTGCAGCCATGAAATTACGCGTTATAGTTTTCCTATGCATTGTTGTGAATGAGCGCATTGCATTTGCGCCAATTTTTAATTAATGCAGTATTCGTTTGTGCCACAGGGTTGTCTTTTATTTGCGCCAAATACAAATACCGCTTTTGCCGCAATTTACAGGTAAATTATAACGGAAATGTTTTAATATCAGTTGTCTCCTGAATACGTGGCTCGTATAAGCGATGGTGAAGAGTACGGGATCTCCTGTCAGTAATTGAGTTTATACTCATTGCTCATACAAACTGAGAGTCACTTAAAGGTATAAAACTGTATAGTGTTCACAGGTTCGACGTGACAAAATATGGACATAATTCATTCGGAGACAAATAAACGAGGAAAACGTCTTTTTTTTTCAAGACCTCACATTGAGGATATCTAATGTATTGAACAAAACGGAGACAAATCAAACCAGGTTATTTAATTTCACTTTCAGATATATTGATGATGTTCTTTCCATTAACAATCCGAACTTTTCTTATTGGGTTCCATTAATATGTCCCCCAGAACTAGAAATTAAAGAAACAACAGACACGGCTTCATCCGCCTCATTTTTAGACTTATACCTCGATTTTGACATACACAGTCTTCTCAGTACCAGAATCTATGACAAACGAGACGATAGAATAGTCATCTATATTTATATATATAAATATAAGTTCGTACGAACACCATTACAAACCAGAGGGAAATACTCAATTTTCATACTCACATATCAAAGTTATAAAATATGAATAACCAAATTTCATCAAAAACGATACTTTAGTAGTTTTCTAAAAATGGTTTACCCGACTGATACTGAAAAAGGAAAGCCCTGATGTATAAATAAAACACAATACTTAACAACAATAAGAATTGCAAGACAGACGAAAATCAACAAAGGTGATAATATAGCATACCTTCCCAACGTGACAAATAAGCTTAAATTATACAAAATTCCAAAGTACCATGAAAATGAGGTAAAGGGTACATTGTTACATCTTGATGTCTTTTTCCTACAAATTCATTTCTGGTCTCTTTTAAGCTTAATCACACAATTTGTCTTGGAATGTGATATACCGAGCTTGGTGAATAGAACCTACTTTGAAGACCATTTCTAATTTTTATATGATTTGTTCATGTTTGTGTTGCTGGATTGCTGTCTTGTCAACATATAAAGCATATATTTTTGGTATGAGGAATAATGCATGTTTTGTATTCTCTAAATAATACAGATAGTTTTCATGTGAAATTAATGGGTGTAAGAAAGTTCTTCATCGTCCTCAATATAAGTATGCGAGGCTTGCCGCTAGACTACTTATAGCCTGAGGTCTAGTTCAGTTGTTTAATATCTGCAAAAATATACATGTCTCACAGAGGAAGCATCCTCTATATTTGCTAAAACAAATAAATACAACGATATTTAAAAAAAATATTTAATTAGTAAATAACTTACAAAGATATAAACGTAATCAATATCATTTACCAATATACAAATAGAGAATATCATTAACCAATATACAAATAGAGAATATCATTAACCAATATACAAATAGAGAATATTATTTGGCTTTTTCAATATCACAACTATAGCAACCCAATACACCAATATAATCCGAGGAAATCTGCTCAAAGGATTATATTGGTTGAGGATTGATACGGTCTGTGATGTTAAAAAAACATATCAATACACTTTATAATAAACCTTAAATTGATGTTTTTTTCACTTGATATAGCCTAATACTAATTAGGGTTTCGATAATTTACAGAATCACCCTGGTCATCTGTTAAACATATTTTTAGAAACAGTACATTAAAACATACCTGTAAAATTCTATATGCTATACAAAGCTTTATCATTCCGGGCCTAAGTTCTGCAGCTTCCTGGTAAGGGTCAAATTCAAAGTATGCTATATATATCCCTGAACAAAGTTATCACAATCATCAACTCCTTAATGCTGTAGTTTTTCCGTAATTAAAATGTAACTCTCCTGTAGTCGGCCAGAAACATAAAATAATGCTACAGTTGTAGAAAGAGCCCTGTTTTTTTTATATAGATAATACTGCTATATACTGGCAGGCGAAAAAGTAACATACCTGTTAGGTACATCTAAATAGTCCCCAACATAGCAATAAACAAGTCACTCCCTTGGTCCACTGTTAATAAATCCCAAACCAGAAATATACACTGGCCTTCCTTTGAATGTACATAGTTAGTAGAGACCAACATAGAAATAACACAAGACTTGTAATGCTCCTTTTATGATATACATATTCTTTCTTATTAACATACAAATTAATTGTCATTCCAAAATCTTGTAAAAAGCAAATAAATGAAAATAACTCTTTATTTAATTGGGAAGGCATTTTTTTTCATATTATTTATAATTTACTGCAGTCAGTAAAAGATATTTATAGATTTTCCTAAATTAAAATATCAAATTAAAACACTAATTGTCATTTGAATCTTTATTGTAGGTAACAAATTTTGATTGAACTTCATTGAAAAAAACGCATTAAAGATAAAATTAGAGAGTATTTCCAGGAAGATGTAACATCAAGCAGAAATGGCAAAGATATAGCCGGACATATTTTAAAATAAGATAGCCCAAATCATAAAAAAAAACAAAAAAACGTCTGCCTTATTCGAAATCCTGTACAAAATCTGTACATATTTGGTTGAATTCTATCATCTCATTTTCAAAGTTGTACAATTGGATGCCCTAAAAACTAATATATTTTTGAGCATTTAAGTTAAATTGTGACAAGCATTTTTTTCTTTTTTCAGATAACAAAATTTGATGCAGACGACCAAAGAAGTCCTACCTACATATAGATCCAGGTTTGCTGTCAAGCTGAACAATTATTGTTTTCAATAGAAAGAAGAACTTTTAAATGAGAGAATTAACAGCAACCTCAACATGGCAAATATAACGTGATAATAATAAAACTTTCTTTTTCATGAAACTACAAAAGATAAAAACGTTAACATTGACGTCTTGACCTGAATTTTCAATGTGAAAACAATATTTTGAAGTGTGGTTTTTATTCCTCTTTTAATTGTTTTGATTTTTCTTAACAATTTATTTGACACCCATCTCAATAACATATTATATATCTTCATTTAAAAACTAGATTGCATGTCTTAACTACATATATATATTACCATGATTAGAATATATAAAGCCTGATCACAACCGTCTTATATAAAGTTTATCATCTTACTTTAACACTTGCATAACAATGTATTACATATATCGGATATCACATTTCCGTTCTTACATACATTTAACAAATATCAACAATATTAGCATTCAAAAATGCTGTATTTAAACTTTTCCTGAATCACAAATTAACTGTCCTGAAGTTTTTCACGTAAGTATATAGGTAAATAATGCTGAATTACTAGACCTTTGTCAATACAAATAAAATAAAGTATAGTCATAACACAATATTCATAAGAGTTATCTGTTAAAATGATTACTGAATAAATACAATTACAAAATACCTAATTGCAAAAAAGTTAATGTAAAGAATTAGTATAGTTTTAATCATATATCATTTGATATTTCAGTATGATAATTTGCCGTCTAATACTACTTGACTGAGATGGAATTTTGATGAACGTTATGCCATCATAAACCAAACAGCATTGATGTTGCCAAAGAAATATAGATAAAAAGAAAGTTAATGGTTTTTCACCCTAGATGGTAGTTTATCAACCATTGAAGATTTATTGATATTTGATTTTTATTAATCGCTGGATGTTTATAATTTTCTTTTTTTAGAAACCAAATTAAAACCTGTGAATCAGGCAGGTCAAGGTGAAATCCTAACAAGATCATAAATGAATTATGTATGACATAAACAAGTTAAAATTGTTAAGTGTATTAGTCAGTAAAACTGTTTGAATGTGTTTGATTTATGAAGGATATTGTGCAGGATGGTTACAAAGGGAAATAACTCTAACTCAAATAATGTCAACCAAAAACAATTGTGAAGAAAGACAAATGGCACTTAATACATTTATCACAGATATTGACATAACCTCAAGTCACTGTTACTGCAGTTTGCTTTTGTGGAGGATAAGTTGACAACACATCATGTTCATAATCCTGTAAACTATCGGCAAGCAGTGGTGTAGTTTCACTGATAATTGGGTTAGTCTTCCAGGAATTTTGTCTACAACATCTAGTATCATACAGCCATGAAAATAACAGTAAGGGGACCTGTAATTATGATATAAAAGCCCTGTAATACTGTCTACAACATCGCATATCATACAGCCATGGAAATAACAGTAAGGGAACCTGTAATTGTGATATGAAAGACCCGTAATACTGTCTACAACATTGCGTATCATACAGCCATGAAAATAACAGTAAGGAAACCTGTAATTATGATATAAAAGCCCTGTAATTCTGTATACAACATCTTGTATCATACAGCCATAAAAATAACAGTAAGGAAACCTGTAATTATGATATAAAAACCATGTAATACTGTCTATAACATCTCGTATCATACAGCCATGAAAATAACAGTAAGGGGACCTGTAATTGTGACATAAAAGCCCTGTAGTTCTGTCTACAACATCGTGTATCATACAGCTATGACAATAACAGTAAGGGGACCTGTAGTTGTGACAATAAAGCCCTGTAATTCTGTCTACAACATCTCGTATTATACAGCCATGAAAATAACAGTAAGGGAATCTGCAATTATGATTTAAAAGCCCTGTAATACTGGAATCAAACAGCCATGCAAATATCAGTAAGGGAACCTGTAATTATGACATAAAAGCCCTGTAATACTGTCTACAACATCTCGTATCATACAGCCATGACAATTACAGTAAGGGAACTTGTAATTATGATATAAAAGCCCTGTAATAATGTCTACAACATCTCGTATCATACAGCCATGAAAATAACAGTAAAGGAACCTGAAAATATGATATACAAGCCTTGTAGTAATGTCTACAACATCTCGTATCAAACAGCTATGACAATAACAGTAAGGGAACCTGTAAATAACAGACTTAAGCCCTGTATTACTGTTACTACACAGGAAACAAGCTAATTCTCCACTCCACTATTTTGTAAAGGTGATCCAAAACTACACATTGCATCAGAAGTGCAATTAGGCTCTTTATTACATGGTTTGCTTTTTTCTCCAAATTTTATTGTTTTCTTGTTAATTATTCTTACATTTTTTTTCATTTAATGATTAAGCATAAAGCAGGCTCTTGGTTGTCTTGTTTTGTCTTGTCAAAGCCTTTTACATGTTACTACGTGTTAAATGCCAATTTTTATCTATAGTTACTTACATCCACATCATAATGACTTTTGTGGATATTCTTATTATTGGTTATCATACCAAAACTCCACATGGTTATGTTTAAAATCTTTTTATCCAGTATTGCTCGTATTATCTATTTAAGAAGGTGATGCCCAATCTTGAACAACCTCTACTTCATGTTTCCTGTCTTCAGAATGGTATGCCAACACCGTCCAGTCGTTTTGTAAAATGTAATGTAAAATCTGGTGATAAAAGGAAGAAGATACCTCATCCTAACTTCTGTTAAAAAAGGACAAGTGTCCTGTATATTGTTATTTTGTGATATGATTTTCAATAAAGCAACAATTTAGAATAGCTCACCATAAATAAACATGCTCCTGCTGTTATAGTACAACAAAATGGAAAACCATATATATCTAGCAATGTACCACCAATTGTTGGTCCCAGAAAATCCCTGTAATGATAATGATATATGTCCAATAAAAATAACTGTCTGTAGTTACTGTACATTTTTGTGTGCATTTATTATTTGAATTTTTTAGCAATGAATAAAAATGCTAAATTCATTATTACTATTTCAGGAAATAAATTGTTATGAACCTATCCCGTCTCAATTTTCACAATAACAAAAATATTGCAAACATTTATGAAAGAACAGGATTAGAAATACATTTTCAAGACTGCACTACAATATGAGGGTCCAAAAAAGTCCCTAAACTTATAACATACTGTGAAAATGCATGCCGTAATTTATTAGTCATTAAAAAGCCTTTTGATAATTAAAATCACTACAAACCAGTAAAAGTCTGAAATGGCCTATATTTGTACTCGACTGTACTGATTTTTACTCGACCAGTCTGAATTGGTCTGAAATTTACTTGATAATACTCGACTGTAGTCTGAACCATACTTAACAGTCTGAACTTGTACTCGACCACTACTTAACCATTTTATTTTAGTCTGAACCATGATTGACCTAGTCTGAACCATACTCAACCTAGTCTGAACCATACTCGACTAAGTCCTAACTAACCTAGACCTAATTTTTCTATCTATCTATTGTATTTCATCAATTTAGGAACTATTTTTAACAGCTATTTCACCTGGCTAAAAATTTGAATAACAATTTGAAATTTAAAATGTATTCAATATGGCATTGAAACCAAAATTTCACAATAAACATAATATAAATTCAACACCATGTTTATCAACACTTACATATATATATCACCTTTAGAATAAAAATAAAACAAGCTGATCAAATAATCTCAAAACTGAATTGTGACTGATATTTTCAATTTTTTTGAATGTTTCAGATATATTTTATGGTTACTGGACAGTTTTCACCATTTACTTAAGCCTTGTATAGATTTATTGTGTTAGTTGAGTTAAGTTAATAATGCAGTGAACATTTTTTTTATCAAAATATATTTAAAATAGTACATAAAGCAACTTAATAAATTTTAAAAATCACACCTTTGTTTTGCAAAACCAAAAATTTAATATAATCATGATAATAGAACTTCCATAGCAATTCTTGATAACCATTTTTTAATGTGTTCCAAAATTGCAGAAAAAAATTATTTCAATTAAATTTAAATAACTTTTGTCAAAATTAAAGACATGGCATGCAAGAAGCACTTTAATAAGGTTTAATTACCTCAGTACATGTGTGTTTTACAGGTAAGAAGAAAGCCCTTTTTTTCTTAAACTCGTGTATTACTTGTCTAGTGAATTCAAAAGGCATTACGATTTAAGTTTTACAGGATGTTGCAATTTTTAATGATTGCTAATTAGAAATTAATACTCTCTAACCAGGTGTGATCTTTTAAATGAGTTTGCCTCAAGCAGGAGGTATTACTTTATACTTTACCACTAATCAGAAGAAAATTTTTATCTATTTTTTTAATTTTTCTATCCCTTTTTGATATATATTATATGAGCTGCGTCAGATAGAAATCGACCTTATGCACATTAATATCAATATATCTGTTAACCTATCTCGGGATGAAAAATCTCTACGGAAAGTCTGTTACTGTCTGAAAATTGAGTTGTTATAAGAACCCTACAAACCAGACTGATATTTATCTTTTTTTTTCGTATTTGAATGTTCCATAATTAATCAAAGTCGTATACATGTACATGTGTACTTGCATAAGGTCGATTTCTATCCGACGCAGCTCATATATAATATATCCCAAATTATAATAAGAATAGATAAATTTCTAATATAAGATTAAACAATTTCAGTGATTTTTTGGCTGTTGTTACCTCATTAAAAAGATAATTATATAACTATTGTATGTAACCATGAAACCTATATAGTTTTTCTTTAGGAATTTAGGAAAATTAAGTTTAAAAAAAAAAAAACACATGCCAAACAAGAAGCACCTTAATATAGTTTTATTACCTCAATAAAGGTGTGGTTTTTAGTTAAAAGAAAATCTTTTTTTTAACAAAACTCTAAAACTTTAAAATTAATATAATAAAATTATTATATAAGATAATCTAATTTAACTATCTCTATTTGATAAATCTGAGAATCATGTAAGGATGTAAACATATGTTTTTTATATATATCTATATTTTATTGTGGCTGTTGTCATGCCAGAAAAAAAGAAATTAATTTTAACAGCTAAAATTAAAAAAAAAGTATAGATTTTTTGGTCAAGTATGGTTAAGACTGGTCGAGTATTGTTCAGACCTTTAGTCGAGTATGGTTAAGACAGAAAAAAATTGGTCGAGTACAGGTCGAGAATGGGTTAAGACTGTTTCAGACTGGTCAAGTAATAGTTCAGACTATTTTCAATGGCAAAGATAAGGGTCAAGTACAAATCAGTACGGTCGAGTATGGTTAAGACTGGGGTAGAGTAATGTCGAGTAAAATTCAGACCAATTCAGACTGGTCGAGTAAAATTCAGTACAGTCGAGTACAGATATAGGCCATTTCAGACTTTTACTGGTTTGTAGTGAATTGATTAACAAGACTAATCAACATAAGTTTCTTGTATGAGTGGTATATTTTCACTAAATAGCTACATTCTTTGCCCAATGTCATGGCAATAACGCATCAACATTGCTATTTCAACTAATCAAAATTTGTTTTTTGGCAGTGGTATTGTTCACTACATTTTGTGCTCTCTGTGATCACATAGACATGTAGAGGCTTGAACATGGCTATATCATCAATTAGAATTATATTTTTGGTAGGAGTGGTATTGCTCATTACATTTTTTTGCCCTCTGTAATCACATAAAGGCTTGGACATGGCTATGTCAACAGATCAGAATTAGGTTTCAGTTAGGAGTAGAATTTTTCACTACATTCTTTGCCCTTAGTCGTCACATTAAGGCATTAATAATGCTATTTCGACAGATCAGAACTAGTAAACTGTTTGCAATGTACTTTTCTCTACAATCTTTGCCCTTAGTCATCACATTTCGACAGATAAGAACTAGTTAACTGATTGCAGTGGTACTTTTCACTACAAGCTTTGCCCTTAGTCAACACATTAAGGCATTAATAATTTTATTTCGACAGATCAGAACTAGTTAATTGGTAGCAGTGGTATTTTTCACCACATTCTTTGCCCTTAGTCACCACATTAAGGCATTAATAATGCTATTTCGAAAGATCAGAACTAGTTAACTGATTGCAATGTACTTTTCACTACATTCTTTGCTCTTAGTCATCACATAAAGGCATTAATAATGCTATTTCGACAGATAAGAACTAGTTAACTGATTGCAGTGGTACTTTTCACTACAATTTTTGCCCTTAGTCATCACATAAAGGCATTAATAATGCTATTTCGACAAATCAGAACTAGTTAACTGATAGCAGTGGTATTTTTCACTACATTCTTTGACCTTAGTCACCACATTAAGGCATTAATAATGCTATTTCGACAGATCAGAACTAGTAAACTGATAGCAGTGGTATTTTTTACTACATTCTTTGCCCTTAGTCATCACATTAATGCATGTAAAATGCTATTTCGACAGATCAGAACTAATTAACTGATAGCAGTGGTATTTTTCACTGCATTCTTTGACCTTAGTCACCACATTAAGGCATTAATAATGCTATTTCGACAGATCAGAACTAGTAAACTGATAGCAGTGGTATATTTTACTATATGCTTTGCCCTTAGTCACCACATTAAGGCATTTATAATGCTATTTCGACAGATAAGAACTAGGTAACTTATAGCAGTGGTATTTTTCACTTCATTCTTTGTCTTCTTTCATCACATTAAGGCTTGGACATGGATATGTCAACAATTCAGAATTAGGTTTCAGTTAGGAGTAGTATTTTTCACTACATTCTTTGTCCTTAGTCACCACATTAAGGCATCTATAATGCTATGCAACAGATCAGAACTAGTTAACTGATAGCAGTGGTATTTTTCACTACATTCTTTGCCCATAGTCATCACATTAAGGCATTTTTAAAGCTATTTCGACAGATCAGAACTAAGTATCTGATAGCAGTGGCATGTTTCACTACATTCTTTGTCCTTAGTCAACACATTAAGGCATTTATAATGCTATTTCGACAGATCAGAACTACGTAACTGATAGCAGTGGTATGTTTCACTTCATTCTTTGCCCTTAGTCATCACATTAAGGCATTTATAATGCTATTTCGACAGATCAGAACTAGGTAACTGATAGCAGTTGATTTTTCACTACATTCTTTGCCCTTAGTCATCACATTAAGGCATTTTTAATGCTATTTCGACAGATCAGAACTAGGTAACTGATAGCAGTGGTATTTTTCACTACATTCTTTGCCCTTAGTCATCACATTAAGGCATTTATAATGCTATTTCGACAGATCAGAACTAGGTAACTGATAGCAGTGGTATTTTTCACTACATTCTTTGCCCTTAGTCATCACACTAAGGCATTTATAATGCTATTTCGACAGATCAGAACTAGGTAACTGTGAGCAGTGGTATTTTTCACTACATTCTTTGCCCTTAGTCATCACACTAAGGCATTTATAATGCTATTTCGACAGATCAGAACTAGGTAACTGATAGCAGTGGTATTTTTCACTACATTCTTTGCCCTTAGTCATCACATTAAGGCATTTATAATGCTATTTCGACAGATAAGAACTAGGTGACTTATAGCAGTGGTATTTTTCACTTCATTCTTTGCCTTCTTTCATCACAATGAAGCATTAACATTACTATTTCAATGATAGGTTACGGATGGGAATGCATGAATGGAATTTTTCATTACATTTGTTGTTTCCTGTAATTTTAACATTGCTTACAGTTTACTTTGTTCTCCGCATTTACCATAAGGAGTGTAAAATATCCTTTACCTTTTGGGTAAGAAAAACTATGAATTACACAAATTTGAATGCAACGTTTGTGATGGAAGAAAGAATGTCAGTAACATAAGGAAATAATAATAGAATAAGCATGCAAAATGTATAATTGTAATCCTATTCAACCTATATATATATGTCAAGGTTTTTATGTGATATTTAGCATATGACTTACCCTATAGCATACATTGATCCCCACAGACCTGCTACAATACCATACATTCCTAAATCATCATCGAATCCTAGCTCTCTGAAAAAATATTTCACCTGTACTTATGTATTTTGTAATTACATTCGCAGTTGCTAGTTCTCCAAAGAAAACCAGTATCACATGTGGTATTGTTACACATTATAACAGTCATGCTACCTCAAATATTAGAATTTTAATTTAATGTCTTATAAATCAGAATAACTCTCCTTGCTTCAGCAAAGAATTATTTTCAAAAAATGTAAATCTTTATAAGGAAACATTTGATGACATAAAAAATAGTACACCAAAAGAATAATGTACTAACATATATGTTGTTTGACAACACATATTGTTTATGCCTTTACCATGGATTTCGAAGGTGTTGGGACAAACCAAAACAAATCAGAAAATTTACAATGTTATTCAGTTGAAAAACAGTTTATTCTTGTGATGGTAGGAGATTTAGTCAGGGTCTGAATGTGGCTGAAGCTCCAATTGGTATTGCATGTTGGATTGTAAATATCAGTACAATCACTGTCATTTCAATATAAAATACGATGCATACTTTGTCTTGCTAAGCTATCACCACGCATAAAGCAAAGTGCCAAAAAACCATTAGTAGGTGTCCAAAAGTGGTAACACGTTACAACAGATCACTGTTTAACTGCACTAAACATGAAGCTATTCAGCTTAGTGGATTTTGAGAAAAATAGGACAAAATATTTCTATTTATTTAACAAGTTGAAAATAATTTAAAAGTATCAGGACACATGAATTAAAAATGAGAAAGGAATGAGCAATACCCATACCGTATAGCTAGCTTTAAAAGCAGCAGCATGACAAAATATGAAACAATTCAAAACAGTAAACCTGAAAGTCTTAATTTATGCTAAAAACAAATAAACCAAAAACAATTATGACAGACAGAACCAAACACAACCTCTGGTTTACAGGCTCCAGACTTGTTATAGGCAAATACAAAAGGGTTTAACATGTTTGTAAGCGTTCAATATTCCACCTAACCTGGAACAGAAAAACCTACCATCAGTTCGAAAGGGATTGACTCAACTGGTTGAAAAGAAGCACAAAAACAATAAAGTAAAAGACAAAAGGCACAAAGAACCAATTAAAGAGTACTCGCAGTTACTGAAAGCTAGTCTAAAGCTCCTTACACATAAACTTCTCAATGAATAATGAGAAACACACTCTGAAATTGACACATCGGTTAACTGATACACTATGTTTTTGTTTCAACTCACTAGCGACATGTTTTTGCAATCTTAGATCTTTAGGTACCAGAATATAAATGGGTGTCTAATTTGTAGTTGTGTAATATCCCTATTGTGACATTTTGAATGAATGTGGATTTACATGGCGGGTGATGCATGCATAGCAAGAGATGCTTACCATAGATATTAGAAGATGTGGTATGAGTGCCAATGAGACAACTCTCCATCCAAGTCAAAATTTATAAAAGTAAACCATTATAGGTCAAAGTACGGTCTTCAACACGGAGCCTTGGCTCACACCGAACAGTAAGCTATAAAGGGCCCCAAAAATTACTAGTGTAAAACCATTTAAACGGGAAAACCAACGGTCTAATCTATATAAAAAACGAGAAACGAGAAACACTTATGAAGCACATCAACAAACGACAACTACTGAACATCAGATTCCTGACTTAGGACAGGTGCAAACAAATGCAGCGGGATTAAACGTTTTAATGGTACCAAACCTTCACCCTTTTTCTGAAACAATAGTGTAACATCACAACATAGAAAGACACACTATAAAATATCAACTGAAATAGCTTAACTCAATCAAAGGACACCAGTGAACATACACTGAACAAATAAATTTGACCTATGATACAATGTAAATACAAAATAAATAAACTAAGGGACCATGTCAACACACCCAGATGTCTTCTCTTGGAGTACACGTGATTCCCCCACTTTTGTTAGTTTCCTTGATTTATTTTTGTAATCAAATTATGAAATTTACACATCTGATCAGTTACTGTTGTCTTAATTTAAATAACAATTGCAAATAACAAATAAACCTTCGTGTACTTCATTTATTTTGATATATTTATCCTCTCCTACAGTTAATGACTTACTCTGCTATGCTAACATAAATATCAAATGTTGGTATCAGTGCTAAACTGGATCCAATACCAAGTACAATAAGGGATACTATGTTTAACCATAGCTGGCTACAAAATAAAATGTTAAAGTTAATGCTTCAATGGATCCAATACCAAGTACAATGAGGGATACTATGTTAACCATAGCTGGCTACAAAATATAAATCAAGAAATAATGCAACACTGGACCCAGTATCAAGTATAATCTAGGACACAATGTGCAACACAGCTGTCTATAATATACAAATATTTATTATATATTAAAAGTTTTGTTAAAACTTTAATGACACTTTCTTTTGAATTTTTTGTGTAATTTTTTCATTAAAACTGCAAAATGTAAGATCAACATTTTAATATTTTTCATAAATTACAATTGAGGTTACTATTTTTGTAAATCTGGAATTTCATGATCATTTGATGTAATATACATTCAAGACATTTCAGAAAACAAGGAGTTGGTGTTATTTTCAATATTTTGTCCATACTATGTATTTTAATGTCAAGGTTCGTACAAGTTGATGAAATGCAAGTCCTGTATCCAAGTTTTACTATTAGGATCTGACAACGGTTTGCTTTACTCTCTGTTCTGAAGATATTTTCAGGATTCTTACGATATTTGAGATGATTCATACCTTTAAAAATTTTTAGCCTGGAATTTCGTTGATCAACGTTATAACGTGGATATGTCTTTAAATCAGTTTTGAGGTATCTATATAATAGAAGCAACTTTTAAAACATGCAATCCTGAAAAACAATAACAAATGAACTCACTCATCTAATAAATCTTTAAGTCCAAGGATTTCTGAAGGACCGAGGAACAGCATACCAACAGCAGAAATAATAAAACCTGGTATCAATACTCCACGGTTATCTGGCTGAAAGGAAAAGACAAAACAGGGTATCAGTATAAAGACTGGTATCAATAATCCATAGGTATCTGGCTGAAAAGAAGTCAAAACAGGGTATCAGTATAAAAACTGGCATCAATACTCCTAGGTTATCTGACTGAATTTTATATTCAAAACAGCATATCAGTATAAAGACTAGAGACTAAATACCACACAACTACCCAGTTGTAAAAGTACATAAACAAAGTGTGTCCCAGTGAAAATAATCTATCTGTTACCTTTGTTCATTAATTGACTACTTTTCAATTATTTTTTTTATAAAACTTAATATTCTATTTATTTAGAAACAGGTAACCTTCGAACATGTAAAAGAACTATCAAGTTATTTTTAACATAATGACATAACATACCTCTCGATTTTTCACTTGTCCATCCAGATATAGATGAAATATTGACACAACATTCCTACCAGTTTATCATAGATCAATCCAGCTATAGGTGACATGATTGACATAATATACCGACCAATTATTAATAGATCCATCCAAATACATGTATAGGTGACATATTGCACAACAATACTTCCAATTTATCATGGATCAATCCAGCTATAGGTGACATAGTAACATACATGTAACATATACCAATCAATTTATCAGAAATCCATCAATCCAGCTGTATATGACATAATGACATAATATACCTACCAATTTATCATAGATCAATCCAGCTTTAGATGACATAATAACATAACATACCCACCAATTTATCGAATATCTATCCAGCTACAGGTGACATAATGACTAACATACCTACCAATGTGTCATTGATCCATTCAGCTTTATGTGAAATAATGACATAAAATAACTACCAATTTCTCACAGGTCCATTCAGCTTTAGATGACATAGTAACATAACATACCTACCAACTTATCACAAATCAATCCAGCTATAGATGACATGCATGACATAATATACCTACCAATTATTCATAGATCCATCCAGCTATAAGTGAAATAATGGCATAACATACCTACCAATTTATCACAAATCCATCCAGCTATAGGTGACATAATGGCATAAAATGCAGCCATCAGCAAAAATAGAAGACCAATGATATCAGCTTCTAAATTGAACTGAAATATATAATTTTGACAATCATTCTAATTGAAAAAAAAACAACCCAACCCAATGACAAAATTATGTGTTGAGTTTTTATAAAAAATCACAATTCAAACCTGATGCTTATCATTTAAACTTTCTAATAATCAATCAATTTTGATAGTGATATTAACAAAAACATTTTCATTTAATGTTTACTCAGGTTTTTTTCTTTTTTATATATGTTGGCACTTAATACAGATATAAGACATGTAAGATGTACAAATGGGAAACGAAAAATGAATAAGTTTCTGTCGAACTATTATAGTTTTCAAGATAATTGACGAAATGATTAAAATTTATAAAAATGTTCATTAATAAACTGTTAACACAGAGATATGTCTCACCTATTTGTTATTTTGATAATGCAAATGTTGAAATTAAAATAGCAATACTTTAACATGTAAGTTATGCAAATATTCAAAGTCAATGAACCATGACTGAAGGAACAGGGCTAAACAATCCATGGAAATGAGATGTGCCAATGCTATTACAACTGCAAACCAAATACCATTGACCTTTCATAAGTCGTTTCCTTTAAACAAACTTAAACACAAACAATAACTTGTAAACTATGTAAAAGTTTTAAAGTCAATGAACCATAATTAGGGGTTGGGGTTATATAATCTCTATGGAAATGAAACTTGCAAATGCCAAAATATCATTCACTTAACATTAGTGGTTCATCTTAAACTGACCTAATCACAAACTGATACATGTAAACTAAGCAAAAGTTTCAAAGTCAATAGACCATGACTGAGGGGTAGGGACCAAATATTCTCCATGGAAATGAGATGTGCTAATGCGGAAATTAGATGTGCTAATGCTTATACAACTGCATACCAATTATCATTGACCTACCACTAACAGTTCCCCTTAAACTGACCTAATCACAAACTAATACATGAAAACTAAGCAAAAGTTTCAAAGTCAAAAGACCATGAATGAGGGGGCTGGGCCAAATAATCTTCGTGGAAATGAGATATGCCAATGCTTATACAACTGCATACAAAATATCATTGAACTACCACTAACAGTTCCCCTTAAACTGACCTAATCACAAACTAATACATGAAAACTAAGCAAAAGTTTCAAAGTCAATAGACCATGAATGAGGGAGCGGGGCCAAATAATCTTCATGGAAATGAGATATGCCAATGCTTATACAACTGCATACCAAATATCATTGAACTACCACTAGTGGCTCCCCATAAACTGACCTTATCACAAACTTATACATGTAAACTAAGCAAAGTTTCAAAGTCAATATACCTTGACTGAAGGGGCGAGCCAAATAATCTCCATGGTAATAAGATGTGCCAATGCTAATACAACTGCATACCAAATATCATTGACCTACCACTAGTAGTTCACCATGAACTAGACCTAATCACAAACAAGTACATTGTTGACACCGACGCTGGAAACAGCATACCTATGTCTCGCTCGAGACAAAAAGCAGTAACTCAAAGAAAGATAATTCAGTTATATTGGTAAATTTGAACTTTCATATTCTTGTAATTTCCTAGATTGATTTGAATTTTCCTCTTTATGTCCCTTTTGGTGCTAAAGCTCCACACGTTTTCAACTTGTTCAACACATCTTTCGCTTTCACATTTTTTCAGTTCAAGCACAAACTTAAGATAACAATTATTCCAAAAAATCTCCATATTTATGTTAGATATCAATTGTTATTTTTATAAAGTTGTCTACTCAAAAAAAAAGATAAGCAGCAAGTACTACAGCTATGTTGGTCAAATTGCAGACAGCTACATTGTTTTAAAATTTTGATAGGCTCAACATTACAATCACAATAATAAACTTTATTGCATATGTTCTATTTTTTAAAAATGCATACAGCACACAAAATTGAAGAAGTGTTGAATCTGATGGCATTTCCCTCACAATAAAAATGGGAGGGGCACTTTTTTTACCCCCAAAAGTCATATCATCTTTTTTAGTTTTCTTCTTTAATCATTCAGATCCTATAAAACAGAAATGCAATTAATTTCATATCATTTTGAGCATTATCTTCAAAAATATGAGCCCTTAAAGTTTGACCCCATTAATCTCAATAGAAGTGTTGTAAAATTGTCTTTGACTAGTATATAAAAAAAAGAAAAGAAAGAAATTCTGATTTCAGAGGGATGATACACATAAGATGAGTGACACAAAATGATGACAAAGGCTGAAATTAATAATGACAAAACTTACAGAGCCACTCAGATGTGGTTCTAGTGTTGGGTCCAGAATGGAATAAATCATGGCAGCCACTAATGTTGAGAAACTGTTAATTATAGTCTTGGGGGACTTCATCATCACCCAGAATGAGATCTTAGAACTGGAAGACTTTTCAACAACTGCAAATAATACATATTCATAGATTTACTGCTACATACAAACTTTTAAAATGATCTCTTTAATGTACACACACCTAAATGGTCTCATTGAAATGTGTTCAGTTTGAATGTGAGATTGCGAGTTAGGTGAGGGTCTGGATGGGGTTTATTGAACAGGGCAATTAGGAAAAACAAGCCTAATAAAGGGCTAAAAAAAGAATAGAGAAATATGGACCGTGATAATGCAATTAACAGTTGAACTGACAGTGTATCAGTTTAAAATTCTTATCTCGGTACTTTTGCATCCCGCCAATGTGTTGTGCTGTGGTAATTTTTTGTATTCTTGTCTTTTATTTTTGCATATGTGCCTTGTCTATATGCCATTTGGTTTTTCTGTGTTGACATATTTGTTTGTTTTTATAGTGATGAGATTATAACACAATGTTGACTGTTGTACCCCTATTTTTGACATTTTTACCTATTATGTCTGTTTTGTTCACACATTGTTGTCATTATAACGGAATTTTATGCGACTGTCATACAAGTGAGAGGTTTATCTGGCTATATAACCAGGTTTAATCAACCATTTTCTACATAAGGAAATGCCTGTACCAAGTCAGGAATATGACGGTTGTTTTCCATTCAGTTCGTTTCATGTGTTAGAGCTTTTGATTTTGCCATTTGATAAGGGACTTTCCGATTTGAATTTTCCTTGGAGTTCAGTATTTTTGTTTTTACTTTGTTCATACTTTGTACCTGTATCTATTACAAACAAAAATGTATCATTTCATAGCTCTTACCTGTATCTATGATAAACAATGTATCAGTTCATAGCTTATACCTGTATCTATGACAAACAATGTATCATTTCATAGCTCATACCTGTATCTATGACAAACAATGTGTCATATCATAGCTCTAACTTGTATCTATGACAAACAATGTATCTGTTCATAGCTCTTACTTGTATCTATGACAAATAATGTATCTTTTCATAGCTCTTACCTGTATCTATAACAAACAATGTATCTGTTCATAGCTCTTACTTGTATCTATGACAAATAATGTATCTTTTCATAGCTCTTACCTGTATCTATGACAAACAATGTATCGCTTTATAGTTCTTACCTGTATCTATGATAAACAATATATCAGTTCATAGCTCATACCTGTATCTATGACAAACAATGTATCATTTCATAGCTCATACCTGTATCTATGACAAACAATGTGTCATATCATAGCTCTAAAAGAGGGACGAAAGATACCAGAGGGACAGTCAAACTTGTATCTATGACAAACAATGTATCGGTTCATTGTTCTTATCTGTATCTATGACAAACAATGTATCTGTTCATAGTTCCTATCTGTATCTATATGACAAACAATGTATCAGTTCATAGCTGTCACATGTATCTAAAACAAATATTGTATCATTTTAAAGCACTTACCTGTATCTATGACAAACAGTGTATTAGTTCATATCTATGACAAACAATGTCTCTGTTCATAGCTCTTACCTGTATCTATGACAAACAATGAATTAGTTCATAGCTCTAACCTGTATCTATGACAAACAATGAATTAGTTCATAGCTCTAACCTGTGTCTATGACAAACAATGTATCAGTTCATAGCTCTAACCTGTGTCTATGACAAACAATGAATTAGTTCATAGCTCTAACCTGTGTCTATGACAAACAATGTATCAGTTCATAGCTCTAACCTGTGTCTATGACAAACAATGTATCAGTTCATAGCTCTAACCTGTGTCTATGACAAACAATGTATCGGTTCATAGCTCTAACCTGTGTCTATGACAAACAATGTATCAGTTCATAGCTCTAACTTGTGTCTATGACAAACAATGTATCAGTTCATAGCTCTTACCTGTATCTATGACAAACAATGAATTAGTTCATAGCTCTAACCTGTGTCTATGACAAACAATGTATTAGTTCATAGATCTAACCTGTGTCTATGACAAACAATGTATCAGTTCATAGTTCTTATCTGTATCTATGACAAACAATGTATCTGTTCATAGTTCCTATCTGTATCTATATGACAAACAATGTATCAGTTCATAGCTCTCACATGTATCTAAAACAAATATTGTATCATTTTAAAGCACTTACCTGTATCTATGACAAACAGTGTATTAGTTCATATCTATGACAAACAATGTCTCTGTTCATAGCTCTTACCTGTTTCTATGACAAACAATGAATTAGTTCATAGCTCTAACCTGTGTCTATGACAAACAATGTATCAGTTCATAGCTCTAACCTGTGTCTATGACAAACAATGTATCAGTTCATAGCTCTAACCTGTATCTATGACAAACAATGAATTAGTTCATAGCTCTAACCTGTGTCTATGACAAACAATGTATCAGTTCATAGCTCTAACCTGTATCTATCACAAACAGTGTATTAGTTCATATCTATGACAAACAATGTCTCTGTTCATAGCTCTTACCTGTTTCTATGACAAACAATGAATTAGTTCATAGCTCTAACCTGTGTCTATGACAAACAATGAATTAGTTCATAGCTCTAACCTGTATCTATGACAAACAATGTATCAGTTCATAGCTCTAACCTGTGTCTATGACAAACAATGTATCAGTTCATAGCTCTAACCTGTATCTATGACAAACAATGTATCAGTTCATAGCTCTAACCTGTGTCTATGACAAACAATGTATCAGTTCATAGCTCTAACCTGTGTCTATGACAAACAATGTATCAGTTCATAGCTCTAACCTGTATCTATGACAAACAATGAATTAGTTCATAGCTCTAACCTGTGTCTATGACAAACAATGTATCAGTTCATAGCTCTAACCTGTATCTATGACAAACAGTGTATTAGTTCATATCTATGACAAACAATGTCTCTGTTCATAGCTCTAACCTGTATCTATGACAAACAATGTATCAGTTCATAGCTCTAACCTGTGTCTATGACAAACAATGTATCAGTTCATAGCTCTAACCTGTGTCTATGACAAACAATGTATCAGTTCATAGCTCTAACCTGTATCTATGACAAACAATGAATTAGTTCATAGCTCTTACCTGTTTCTATGACAAACAATGAATTAGTTCATAGCTCTAACCTGTGTCTATGACAAACAATGAATTAGTTCATAGCTCTAACCTGTATCTATGACAAACAATGTATCAGTTCATAGCTCTAACCTGTGTCTATGACAATCAATGTATCAGTTCATAGCTCTAACCTGTATCTATGACAAACAATGTATCAGTTCATAGTTCTAATTTGTGTCTATGACAAACAATGTATCAGTTCATAGTTCTAACTTGTATCTATGACAAACAATGTATCAGTTCATAGCTCTAACCTGTATGTATGACAAACAATGTATCAGTTCATAGTTCTAACTTGTATCTATGACAAACAATGTATCAGTTCATAGCTCTAACCTGTATGTATGACAAACAATGTATCAGTTCATAGTTCTAACTTGTGTCTATGACAAACAATGTATCAGTTCATAGCTCTAACCTGTATCTATGACAAACAATGTATCAGTTCATAGCTCTAACCTGTGTCTATGACAAACAATGTATCAGTTCATAGCTCTAACCTGTATCTATGACAAACAGTGTATTAGTTCATATCTATGACAAACAATGTCTCTGTTCATAGCTCTTACCTGTTTCTATGACAAACAATGAATTAGTTCATAGCTCTAACCTGTGTCTATGACAAACAATGAATTAGTTCATAGCTCTAACCTGTATCTATGACAAACAATGTATCAGTTCATAGCTCTTACCTGTGTCTATGACAAACAATGTATCAGTTCATAGCTCTAACCTGTATCTATGACAAACAATGTATCAGTTCATAGTTCTAACTTGTGTCTATGACAAACAATGTATCAGTTCATAGTTCTAACTTGTATCTATGACAAACAATGTATCAGTTCATAGCTCTTACCTGTATCTATGACAAACAATGTATCAGTTCATAGCTCTAACCTGTGTCTATGACAAACAATGTATCAGTTCATAGCTCTAACTTGTATGTATGACAAACAATGTATCAGTTCATAGCTCTTACCTGTGTCTATGACAAACAATGTCTCTGTTCATAGCTCTAACCTGTGTCTATGACAAACAATGTATCAGTTCATAGCTCTAACTTGTATGTATGACAAACAATGTATCAGTTCATTGCTCTTACCTGTGTCTATGACAAACAATGAATTAGTTCATAGATCTTACCTGTATCTACTGGAATCAACCAAAAATTAAATGGGACACATAGAAACATGATAGCACCGACTACTGCAAATGGCATGATAAAACCTCCACTCTGAAAAATAAATTATAAATGATACGGGAACTACGTTTTTAAAAGAACTCTAAATGATAAGGGCAACCATGTACTCAAAACAAATCTGAAAATTCCAACCAAATTAACCCCCCTAGAGATATTTCAGAGGAGAGAGCTTCTTGCATCTAAATATAAATATGATTTTGACTAGTGTATGCCTAGAGTTAGAAAGTTATTAAAGGATTTTCATACAGCATAATCTGACTTATCATTGCATTTACCATTTATACTGATGCAAAATTGAAATATATAGTAAAACTTTTGTTTTTAAAGACAATGAATTCAGATAAGGTGATCAGATGACAGTAAACTCAAAACGTAATCCACTTAAACATTGTGAATACCTTTCAAGTATGGTTTCTGAGACACAAACCTCCTTCAAAATCTTATTCTGACCACTGGAACAGGAAATTGAGGTTAATACCACATGACAAGAGCCAAACAGACAACTACTCTTTACAACAAATTCATTTATAAAATATTGTTGAGATGATATTCTGAAAACTTGACTTGATCACTGGAGACTAAAAATGGGTAAATTCCAATAGGAAATGACTAGCTGACCTCTATACAAGAGGAAACTGCATTGTGCAAGTTTGATCATATTTTTTTTTTGATTAATCTGATTATTGGCAAAAATACATGCATTGATATTATTTGTTATAATTACAGTAATTAACCCACTGTCTGATTGGTAAAATCAAGACAAATACTTATTTATATAGTTCTACTTCTTTGAATCTTTAAACAAAATGTATACATAATAATGATAAAAAATCCCAAGCAGTCTGTATTAGGAGGATATTTTTATAACTTAAAAGTTTACGTGCTTTAATTATTCTATTAGTTGGACAGTGACATATACTTGCTCACGTAATGCAAGTTCATTTTGTTGTTTGTGAATAGTTGTCTCATTAGCAATAATTTTGATAAGACTGTCGTACAAGTGAGAGGTTTAGCGCTATAAAACCAGGTTCAATCCACCATTTTCTACATTTGAAAATGCCTGTACCAAGTCAGGAATATGACAGTTGTTGTCCATTCGTTTGATGTGTTTTGTCATTTGATTTTGCCATGTGATTAGGGACTTTCCGATTGAATTTTCCTCGGAGTTCAGTATTTTTGTGATTTTACTTTTCACATCGCCTTAATTTGAATTTTATAATAATGAGTATTCATTCAAATGTTTCATTAAATCCTTTGTACCTTTTCAATGAAGAAAATAGTAAAATTAGTGCTCATTAAAAATAAATAGTTTTACAGTAATTTGAAAAAAAATTGAAATAACTTACACCATACAGAAATCCTCCTATAGCAGGACCAGACATGAAACCAACTCCAACAAATACCTCTGTTATACCCTGAAATAGTTGTTTATGTCAAATTATACAATATTATGATACTACACACAAAATCTAAATCAGTTAACACAATAATACAGCACACACACTGTAATTTAGTTGGTATATAGTATCTTTAATAATTGGTAAATGATGTTTTCTTTTCTTTTCTGAATTTGTATTTCATGTAGCATATAAATGTATTATTGAGTTAAAAACATTAACAAAAAGATAGTTTAAGTGAAAGTATATACTATTAATTTACCAAACACTGTGCATGTTAAAGCAGATAACATAAAGTAGAAAAAGCACAGGCATTAGTTTTCTATATTAAACTAAGTACCAATAATAAAGAAGCTATAAATTGTAGTTGCTGAGTAGTGGTTCGTGGTTCTAACAAATACGAAGCAAGACTTAAAACGAAACTTTTATTTTTTTAAGTCTTGAATTCATCTTTAGCATTCCCCTGAATACCAATAATATAGAAGCTATAAATTGAAGTTGCTGAGAAGAATGCAACAATTTATTCATATATACATTCAACAATGTGAAGAACATACACACATGCTGCTAGCAAGAAATAAATAAAAGTGTAATACTAGTATCTGAAAATGTAATGTGGAACAGTAACACTGGTACACTTATATTGTTTATCTGCCAAAAATTAAAAGGTCTAAAATAGAGGCAGAGTATACCAAGGGAACATTCAAACCCATAAGTAGAAAAAACTAGAGGCTCCAAGGAGCCTGTGTCGCTCATCTGATAATTTTGTTTAACAATTGATGCATGAAACAATGCAACAATAATACTGTTTTTAAAGGAATCTGTGTGGATCAAAATCTAATCTTTCGTTTGATTTTAACTGCTTTCAATCCATTAATCATTTTAAGTTTTCAAGGTAAAAACACACAATTCAAGTATGCCGTGCTGCTGTCCATGAGCATACATTTTTATATATTTTTTGTATATCATTACTGGTAAAGGATCATCAAAGAAACTTTAATTGATTTTGCCATGTTTATTATAAGTTTTTCAATTGGTTGTCACAACAAAGTTACTAATCATTTTGGAGACTGACAACAGAATTGTGTCAATCTTAAAATTTGTCATTTAAGGGCAATAACTCCTATAAGAAGTCATCTGACTGTTTTGACTTAAAGAGACAGTAGATAGATCTCAACATTCTGAACATTTTTGCCCCTGTTAGATTTTCTCTACTCAATGCAGTTTTCAAGATAAAAGACACAACTTGCATTTTACCCCTATGTTCTATTTTTAGCTATGGCGGCCATGTTGGGTGACAGCCTGGGTCATCGGCCACATTTTTTAACTATATACCCTAATTATGATTGTGGCCAAGTTTGGTTGAATTTGTCTATGTAGTTTCAGAGGAGAAGATTTTTGTAAAAGATTACAAAATTTATGAAAAATTGATAAAAATTGACTATAAAGGGCAATAACTCCTTAAAGGGTCAATTGACAATTTTGGTCATGTTGACTTATTTGTAGATCTTACTTTGCTGAACATTATTGCTGATTACAGTTTATCTCTATCTATAATAATATTCAAGATAATAACCAAAAACTGCAAAATTTCCTTAAAATTACTAATTGAGGGGCATCAACCCAACAACGCATTTTTTAAACTAGATACCCCAATATTGATTGTGGCCAAGTTTGGTTAAATTTGGCCCAGTAGTTTCAGAGGAGATTTTTGAAAATGTTAACGGACGACGACAACAGACGACGACAACGACGACGGACGACAGACCCCAAGTGATGAGAAAAGCTCACTTGGCCTTTCAGGCCAGGTGAGCTAAAAAGTGACAATGCCATTGCAAAACCCAAAAAAAGACCAACAGACAAACAACATAAATATAAGAAGACGTGGTATGGTTGCCAATGAGACAACTCTCTACAAGAGACCAAATGACATGGAAATTAACATTTATAGGTCACCATACAACATTCAACAATGAGCAAACCCATACCACAGAACAGTATATATGCAAAACACAACATAGAAAACAAAAGACTGAAAAATATGAACCAAACCAAATACCAGGGGTGATCTCAGGTGCTCTTGAAGGTTAAGCAGATCCTGCTCCAAATGTGGCACACGTAGTGTATTTCATGTAAGTACAAACCTGGCAATAAATCTAACTTGAAAGCTCATATTTGAAAAAAAGATAACAATGTTGTGGTTACAACAATTGGAACATATCCGTCGTCATCTTTTAAACAAATAGCCCAAAACCATCAACCAACTCGTGATGGTGCTAGTAAAATTTTCGAAGTGATTTTTTTTAAACTTCATCCCTTGGAACTCTTGGTTTAATAGCTTCTGTGTAAGCAGCAACCCTATATCAATTTAAATCATGATACTAAATGCAAGCTCCCAATTATTGTATCAACTGGGAAATATATAAACCATATATATATGCAGGAGCTGCTGGAAGGTTGCTACATAGAAATGGAAAGTTCGCAATTGGGAATCTGAAATCATCCCTTTTGTCATACAGTTTTGTTCTCAACCAACCCTCATTGTAAATTTCTAGATGTCAGTTCTCAGGTTTTTCACAGTACAACATCCCTCATTTTTCACTACTGTTCAATTTAGTAAGTTGTAGATTCATGTATCGATCATGCTTATTACTAAGATACACATTTTGGGGGATTAAGTGAAAAATGTACTTGAATGTATACTTTTTTCATGGTTCTCAACAAATACACGGGCAAGACTACACGAAACTTCTATTTCTTGAAGTCTTGAATTCATCTTTAGCATTCCCCTGAAATCCATGAAAAAAGTAAAATAACAAAAATACCGAAATCCGAGGAAAATTCTAAATGGAAAGTCCCTAAGCAAATGGCAAAATCAAAAGCTCAAACACATCAAACATGTGTCAAACGAATGGATAACAACTGTCATATTCCTGACTTGGTACACACATTTTCTTATGTAGAAAATAGTGGATTAAACCTGGTTTTATAGCTAGCTAAATCTCTCACTTGTATGACAGTTGCATAAAATTCCATTATATTGACAACGATGTGTGAACAAAACAAACAGACATAATAGGTAAAAATTAATATTCCTTAAATAATAAGTGTTCTACAGTAGTTCTAAATGTTTCTGGCATGCTAAAAGCTATAATCATGTACTGTTACTGTTTATGCAATGCTACATTTAAGCTTTAAGGGAAAGATGTTTCATCTCTAAAGCATTGTTAAAATGTAGTAGTCAGAACTCACTTGAATGTTTCTGATCAAATAAATGAGAAGAAATTTGAGATAAATATATCAAATACTAGTAGACAACAACCCAACATGAATAAAAGTTGTCTCCCCTTTCAAGATTATAAGGAAGAGAGTTGGAAAGTTCACTGGAATAACTATATTTTATACAACCTTGACCTCTGACAGAGGTTATCAAGTTATTAGCTGTATATATATATAACAAAAAATAGATGGCAATGGATAGCTGTTTTGTCAACGTATATTTGTTTTGCCTAACAGATTTGTTATAAACAATGCCATAATATCTGTTCCTGTTGGAACAAATATTCTATCATCTTTATTCTGTCAGGAACAAATGCTGTAATATCAGTGGAAATAATATTACAGAATATTTCTTCCTCAAATAAGAACTTATATTATGAATATGAAGAAACTTCTTTTTCATGACAGTTTAACATTAAGTGGCAAATTAAATGCATATTGAGGACAAAAAACATGCAACAGTGATCCTAGGAATAAATACCCTGCTTCGTACATATAGGACTGACAACCTTAGACAGATTGTTAACGTGCTAGTTTACAAGTTAATATCAGAAGCAGCAACTACACAAGTCTTTGTTTTGACCCATTTGAACCAACCCCCTACCACACTTAAGGGGAACATGTAAACATGAGACTACCAAGGGGATAGAACAATAAAAGAATCTGTCATACAAAGTTGTAAAATCTACAAACAATTAGTTTGACATTTTGTTGACAGTATACAAAAGTCTATATTTTTCCTTGAAAGCCTCATTCAAATGAGATATTAACTTTAATAAACTGCATTGTAAAACAATAAACTTGGGAATTTTACATTTGAAACATTATGAAATTTTAGATACTATTTATGTTATTTTTCTAACTTTAACAGTTAGATCAGGATACTTAATGGTTCATTTCACTATTTTCATACATTTAAAAATCTTGAAGCATCTTCATTTCAACAGTGGATTAGTTATATCATTAAAAACTAAAGGCCCTAAATAGCCTGTGTCGCTCACCTGCATCTTCAACAAAGGCCACTTCTTAGTAAAAATCATCATTAAAGGGGAATAACTCTTTTAAGAGTTAACTGACAATTTCAGTCATGTTGACATATATGTAAATCTTATCCTGCTGACATTTTTTCCTTTTTTAAAGTTTCTATTTGTCTATTATAGTTTTTAAGATAATAGGCAAAAAAGCATAAAAATGTTAAAAATTATCATTGAAGGGCAACTGTCTTGCTGATCATTTGTGCTTTTTAAAGTTTCAATCTATATAGATCTATTATAGTTTTCATGATAATAGGCAAAAATTGGGGAAAATCGTCATTAAAAACAATAACTTCAATAAGGAGTTGACTAACAATTTCCATCATGTTTGACTTATTTGTAGATCCTGTCTTGCTGATTATTTCTGTTATTTAAAGTTTCTATTTATCTAATATAGTTTTAAGATGTAAGGCAAAAACACAAACATTTGGTAAATCATCATTATAGGGCAATAACTCTAATAACAAGTCGACTGAAGATTTTGGCCACATTGACTTATTTGTAGATCTTGTCTTTCTGATAATTTTGCTTTTTAAAGTTTCTTTCTATCTAATATAATTTTTGAGATAATAGACCAAAAAATTTTTAAAATAGTAAAATTCATCATTTACGGTCCTCCTATAAGAAGACGTCTGACAGTTTTGACGAAAATGAACAATAGGTAGAGCTCAACATTCTGAACATTTTTGGCCCTACAAATTTTCTCTATTTATAGTGGTTTTCAAAATAATAGGCAAAACTTGCATTTTATCCCTATGTTCTATTCTTATCCATGTCAGTCATCTTGGTTGGTAAGTGGGGTCATTGAAAATTTCTTTTTAACTAGACACCCCAATAATGATTGTGGCCAACTTAGGTTAAATTGTCAAGTAGTTTCAGAGGGGAAGATTTTTGTAAAAGTTACAGGACGATGATGTACGATGTATGCCAAGTGATGAGAAAAGCTCACTTGGCCTTTCGGCCAGGTGAGTTAAAAAGTAAACAAATCATTTGGAACCACTTTTTCATATATGTACAGTACCAGATATGTAGGAACAAAACAAAATGTCAAATAAGAATGGTTGTACTTACAAAAACAGTAGCAACTGAGTCTGGGAATTCTTTGGCAACTAGAGCAAAACTTGCTGTCTGAAGACCACAACAACCTATAGCTAGGATGATTCTCAGTAAGAAACAATAGATAATGAAGGTAATATTCTCACTGCTAGTGTCTATGTAGGTTAGAATCCTGTGGAAAGAAAATAACAAATATCTAGAAAACATCGTTGTATGCAAGAGTGCACTCACTGCAAAGTCTGGCTTGAGTTACTTAGTGAGATTAAACTTATAATGACTGTAAATCTGATTAAATCACTAAAACTTATTATAGATAGGTTTCGAATGACGTAATCTGAGTTTGAGTTATTGCCCTTTGGCGCCATTTTGGAGTAAGGAATAAATGGTTAATTTTCCAATTTGACTAATTTTTTAACCAAATTGAAACATGTGGTCCAAACAAGTCTGAATAAGATCCTAACTAGATGGTAGTGATGAATTAAGCAAGGCTAAAAGAAGTTAAAATTGTTCAGAAAAATCCTTTCTCTAAAGTCTAGCGGTCAGTATTACAAGTTTAATTTGACTGATTTTTTAAGGAATTTTCCTAGACCTCCAAGCATGGCAATAAAAGGGAAGTAACTCTTGTTCAAACTGTGTCAATCGAAACCTATCTATTGATCCATTTACATGAAGAAAATGGAGAAAAGCTTACTAGGTGAACAAAGTCAAAAGGATATTTTACACCAAATATAGTTTACCTTTATTTTCGCAAATTGAAATTTAAAGTGTAAAATGCATATTTTTCATCGTTTTATTCCTATATATCAAATATCTAATTGGTTGTATCTCACGAAGAATAAATGCTTCATAGATCTCAAAATCACTCTTTACAGCAGAATGCATTGAGTGTGTAGGTAAAGGTAGAATCTTTGGTTAGCTTGCTTGTTAGCTGAACCGTGAAGTCATTATTAGGTTAGGTATACTACCCTCCTTTTAGAGTAGTCTAGTCCCACAGACAGATAGATTGGTTATCTGTTGGACTGGTCTACTCTTAATGGAGGGTAGTTTTCCTAACCTAATAATGAATTCACGGTTCAGCTAGCAAGCAAGCTAACCAAAGATATTACCTTTACCTACACACTCAATGCATTCTGCTGTAATTAGGAAAATTTGCATACAAGTGTAAAAACATATTTTATCCTCAACTTTTATATTGCTGTACATGAACTTTAACCCCATCATTGGCATCAATGGTAACAGTACCATGTGACTTACCCAAATAATACTGTACAGCCTGCTGCTATGAATAGACCGCCAATGTACATGAACTTCAACCCCATTAATGGCAACTAAAATAAGATATAATTCATGTATTGTATGTTTCTTTTGTATATTTTGTTTGCATTTTAACCGGTCAGGGTTTTACTTTTTGCAATAAAGTATTATTATAAAATATAAAGAAACAAGAAAACAAACATACAGACTTAATATAATTGCAGTAGATTTTCATGGCAAAATCAAAATATTATTAATTACGTTCATACAGTTTTCTAGTTAGACTGACATAAAACAACATGTAAAAACATTAATAAGGCCAAAAATAAAATTTAAATTATTTGATGTCTGATAAATTCTATTAGACCTACCCAACATAAAAGCAGCATACCCAAACATTGTATAACATAAATCGTTTAAATTTTTGGGTTTAAAGTTTTTTTCGTTCCCTAACATCGTTTTCTTTGTCTAAAACTTGTAACTTAAGTTGTTAGCCAAAACAAAATAAATCCTCACCTATCTACCCAACCCTACAAGGCATGGGTATATAGGCATTATCAAACAAAGAATTTGTTGGGGGTGGCCTAAGAAGGCCAGTGGCGGATTCAGAAATTTTCATAAGGGGGACCCGCTCATGTCATGCTTCAGTGATTCCCTAAATAATCAACCAAATTTTTCCCACAAGAGGGGGTCCCAGGCCCCCTGGACTCCCTCAAATCCGATTCTGACAGCAACAGTGACTTTAAAAATATCAAACCCCCAAAATGACAAAAATTTAATGAAATATAAGAGATGACAACCATTAACATGATTAACAATGTGACTGGTTCCAGACAGGAACACAAATAAATATCAGGCGGCACTCAGATATGTTTTAGACATAAGGTGTAGAGCCTGCATATATGGTAAAGGTACTTGTCATTAGTTAAAGTCATAAGGTTTTATCCAGATGTACCTTGCCTTTTTGTGTTATTGGTATCACCTTGTATTCATACACAGAGGTACAAAAATCTAAATTAATCTGCAGTATCATTATACGATGATAACATATTTCATACAACACATAATGAAACATGCAGTTTTTGAGAGAGGAATGTAATTCATATATAAGACTGTTCATATATTGAAGAAAACTATGTGTTTATCTTATTATAACAACTGTTTTAGCAATTACAGATAATTTTTTGATATGATTTTTTTTTTCAACTTTGCCATATGAGGGGAGATAACTCAGATATTTTAACTTTAATATACATAATTTATAAAGGCATGTGTTATGAATATACCAATTTTGTATAATAACTATTGTAGTAAGAAACAAATTTGTTGACCCCATTTTTTTCATTTCTGAAAGCACATATATAAGATCTATCAGTATCTTCTAAAACTTTATTTATAAATCCTATTGGTTTTTTTTTCTATCACATTTAAAATAAATTATAATCTTTACAAACTCTGACAATTTTGCACTACTTGTAGCTTGAAAAATCCTGATGACTTGTATACTTTTTGTAATATTTTTTAAAAAAGTATAAATTTTGGCAAATTATTAAAGAATTTTATCAATTTTAATTGAGGCCCCCCCATCTTCCTTAAACTATATTCTATGAGGCAAGTGTATAATATTATTTGTTGACCTTTTTTACCTCAAGAAGTTTGTACAGTGATGTTTGTTGATGGGTTGATATATTAGTAATGTGACTAAACCACATTTTCTATATTCTATATATTCTACAGACAATTGTTTATTGTTAAAGATTGCATGTTACTTTAAGGTCTCTAGTTGCAGATAATAGATTTTTAAAAAAAGGATGGGAAAGTGGGGGGGGGGGGGGGGTTGCAAACTAATCAATGAAAAGAATCTCCTTATATATATATATCTACTTACCAATTTACCAGATACAGGCGATATTAAAAACTGTGTTAAAGCAAAAATTCCAAATATCCATCCTGACACAGAATCACTGACATTCTTGGATGCAGCCTAAAATTACAAAAACACAAAAACAAAAATAAATTAATTAATTAATTGTATTCAAATTCTCTTTACCCTTCCTGAGCTTCTGACATCACCTCCCACGACCCCCCAATGTGGGCAATGTCGGGTGTTGAAACACAAGTACAGTACACACAAGTTGATTCTTTTATATTTGTTAACAGTTAACAGTGAACCATTGTGATGGTTGATTGCTTTCACTGATTCAAGACCTAATTTCATGGAATACTGTAAAAGAAATTTACAGAAATATCACATTAATATTATATAGTTCTAATTTCTATTGCTATTTTTGCTATAGGTTCAGTGGCAAATATTTCAAGCATAATCAGCTTTTTGATATTCAAATGTCATCTGTATGAGAATTTCTGTTTAATTAATTTATTTTGATTACTAATCAATGAATGTTTTGACTGAGGCTAGTCATGCTAGCAAGCTTAACATATAAATTTCATGGATATATTTGTAGCTGGTCTGTCTATTACAAAAGATCATACAACTTATCCTCGAAAATTAGTCAGAACTCAAAGATATAAATAAAAATAGTTTTGTTCTCCACTGAACATATGTGAGCCAAAATTTGTTCCTGTGAAAAAAGTTCCAGTGGAACTTATATCACTGGAAATATGTCCTGGGAGAACTTTTTTCCACAGGTAATTTCTATATAATTTGTTCCATCTCTATAGAATAAGTTCCACACTTTACCTGGTGAAATAAGTACCGGGTTGGTGAAGTTTGTTTCTTACCTAGTGAAATAAGTTCCAGGTTTATGAGATTTGTTCCTTACCTGGTGAAATAAGTTCTGAGTTTGCGAGATTTGTTCCTCACCTGGTGAAATAAGTTCCTTGTCTGTGAAATATGTTCCACTGGTTAAACAAGTTATCTTATATACTGAGCATTTGTCATCAGTGAGTTTAAAGTTATCATTCAAGTGCATTATAAAAATAAGTATCATATTAATAATATAATATATAAAAAGTGTAAATCATCCAGTTTGGATCCTATGGAGTATAGCAAATGTTTAATTATATACTTTGTAAAAAATATCTAAATGACACTTTTGAACCAGAAAAGATTAGAATAAGAATAAAATGCGCAGCTTGATACTACCACAGAGGTCGAACCCTGAATAGTTGGGGCAAGTATGGACACAACATTCAAGCTTGATACAGCACTGAATTTGGATTGTGATTAAATATTTGACACAGCATAGGTTTCTGACACAGAATGAATGTGGTCTAAGAACTTAAAAAATTTTAATTTACCTATTCAAACCATATCATTATTATTTGCTTTTATATATAAATCAGAAATAACCAATTTAAAATGAAAAATTTTAAAGAAAAAAAAGTGGAAAAAAATCCCCCCTCAAATTTTTTGAACCCCCTCATGATTCATCACCCCTAAACTCAATCCCAGCCTTCCCTTTGTGCTACAATTTATGGTGCCTTGCAGTACAATTTCAGAGAGATCCGTACACTTGAACACAAGTTATTGTCTGGAAACTAGAAAAATGCTTGTTTTTTTGGCCCCAAATTCCTAAACGTTTAGGGCAATTACCCCCAAACTCAAACCCAGCTTTCCCTTTGTGATATGGAACCTTGTAGTACAATTTCATAAAGATCCATACACTTGCACACAAGTTATTGTCCTGAAACTAGAAAAATGCTTGTTTTTTTGCCCCTTTTTTGCCCCTTATTCATAAAATTTTGAGGCAATTACCCCCAAAATCAATCCCAGCCTTCCCTTTGTGGTATGGTACCTTGCAGTACAATTTCAGAGAGATCCATACACTTGAACACAAGTTATTGTCTGGAAACTAGAAAAATGCTTGTTTTTGGCCCCTTTTGGCCTCTTATTCCTAAACGTTTTGGGCAATTACCCCCAAACTCAATTCCAGCTTTCCCTTTGTGATATGGAACCTTGTAGTACAATTTCAGAAAGATCCATACACTTACACACAAGTTATTATCATGAAACTAGAAAAATGCTTGTTTTTTGCCCCTTTTATGGCCCCTAATTCCTAAAATTTTGAGGCAATTACCCCCAAAATCAATCCCAGCATTCCCTTTGTGATATGGAACCTTGTGGTACAATGTCAGAGAGATCCATACACTAACACACAAGTTATGTCTGGAAATTACAAAAATGCTTATTTTTGGCCCCTTTTTGGCCCCTAATTCCTTAACTGTTGGTACCATAACCCCCAAAATCAATCCCAACCTTCCTTTTGTGGTATTGAACATTATGGTAAAATTTCATAGAGATCAATTCACTTAAACTAAAGTTAGAGTGCGAAAACCAATGTGTCTTCGGACGATGACGACGACGACGACGACGCCAACGTCATACCAATATACGACCACAAAAATTTTTTTGCGGTCGTATAAAAATCATTCAGAAAAAAAGTATAGTTTAAGAGGAACATATGTTCTAATTTGAAAAGGACAAAGTGACTTGATCATTTATAAATATCAAAAGACATGTAGAAAAAAAAGACACACTCTTTTGAAACTGTGCCATGTCCTAAGTACATGTATGACTAGAACACAGGGCCATGACAGTTAACAGGAACCAAGGAGGAATACCGCATAAAACATAAATACAAATTATGATACATTACCATCGCTTTTATTTCTTATCTTCATCCCATAGTTACAGTCATGCCTTCAATTGCAATTGTATCCCATGCAAGTACACTCAGTACAGCATTAGGTTGCATTATAATTTAAGTGTAACAAGAAAACGTTTCGGTGTGCAATAATGATTGAGCGGACCTTATTCATTAGTTTCTATGAAATATTTACATGTTCGTTTAAAACTAATGTCACAGGAACTTATTTAAAACTTTTTAATATTAATTGAAACAAAATTCATGGAGCATAATGATTTTTGTTCCGGAACTTATCTCACATTTGGACAAAAAATTAGTTCCTGAACAAATTTTACAGTGCTGCATGGAACATATTTTCTGTGATATAAATTCCGGTGGAACATATTTCCTATGAAATTTGTTCCGGCGGAACAAATGTCACGCTGGTACAAATTTTTTGTTACACATATGCTCATTGAGGTCTAAATGTGAATGTTTAATGGATCATCTCCCTGTATTTTAAAATGATTTAATTTTGGATGTAACAGTCCTCTCCTGATTGGCTGAAAATTTTTTGTCTATCAGCTCATAGACATCATGTTGTCATGTGACCGTGACGTCATCAACATTTTTTCATGATTTACTCCTTAAAAATGGAATTTAGAATTAAATTATAAGGACTGACTGTAATATTTTTTCTGTCTATTCAAAACATTTTTGATGTTATTTCTTCATAGACAGAAAAAAAGACTATGATATCAACAAGTTAAAAGATATATATATATGATCTGAATCAACATGTTGTAACTAAATCAACATGTTGTAAATACTGACTTCTTCACGATGTTAAATTATCAAAATTGGTTTAGCTTCAAGACATTGAAGATATATGAAAATGAAACATGTGAAACTGTGACAACATTTTATATGCTTTTATTACATACTTAGTAACAAATACAAATGTACAAGTAATTTAAATTGTTTGCGCTATACACATGATACAATCAACGGCAATCATATTGTATAAGTCATCCTTGATGATATTGATATCAGTCATGATTGCAACTTTAGGATTTATCAAATCTCTAATCTGTATGGTGTCTCCTCATTGATATCTGAGTCACCATCCAGTGCATAGGCTTTATCAAATCTCAAATCTGTATGGTGTCACCTCATTGATATCTGAGTCACCATTGTAAAGGCTTTATCACATCTCTTATCTGTATGGTGTCACCTCATTTTTATCTGAGTCACCATGCAGTCCAAAGGCTTTATCAAATCTCTAATCTATATGGTGTCACCTCATTGATATCTGAGTCACCATGCAGTGCTAGTGCTTTATATCAAATCTCTAATCTGTATGTTGTAACCTCATTGATATCTGAGACACCATGCAGTGCAAAGGCTTTATCAAATCTCTAATCTGTATGGTGTCACCTCATTGATATCTGAGTCACCAGTGCAAAGGCTTATTCAAATCCCTAATCTGTATGGTGTCACCTCATAGATATCTGAGTCACCATGCAGTGCAAAGGCTTTATCAAATCTCTGATCTATATGGTGTCACCTCATTGATATCTGAGTCACCATGCAGTGCAAAGGCTTTATCAAATCTCTAATCTGTATGGTGTCACCTCATTGATATCTGAGTCTAAAGTGCAAAGGCTTTATCAAATCTCGAATCTGTATGGTCACACCTCATTTATATCGGACTCACAAGTGTCAAGTCTTTATCAAATCTCTAATCTGTATGATGTCACTTCATTGATATCTGAGTAACCAGTGTAAAGGCTTTATCAAATCTCTAATATGTATGGTTTCACCTCATTGATATCTGAGTCACCATGCAGTGCAGAGGCTTTATCAAATCTCTAATCTGTATGGTGTAACCTCATTGATATCTGAGTCACCAGTGCAAAGGCTTTATCAAATCTCTAATCTGTATGGTGTCACCTCATTGATATCTGAGTCACCAGTGTAAAGGCTTTATCAAATCTCTAATATGTATGGTGTCACCTCATTGATATCTGAGTCACCATGCAGTGCAAAGGCTTTATCAAATCTCTTATCTGTATGGTATCACCTCATTGATATCTGAGTCACCAGTGTGAAGGCTTTATCAAATCTCTAATCTATATGGTCACACCTCATTGATATCTAAGTAACCAGTGTAAAGGCTTTATCAAATCCCTAATCTGTATGGTGTAACCTAATTGATATCTGAGTCACCATGCAGTGCAAAGGCTCTATCAAATCCCTAATCTGTATGGTGTAACCTCATTGATAGCTGAGTCACCAGTGTAAAGGCTTTATCAAATCTCGAATCTGTATGGTCACACCTCATTGGTATCTGAGTCACAAGTGTCAAGTCTTTATCAAATCTCTAATCTGTATG